AAAAAGAGGAATTTTCTACCCTTTCCTCCGTAATTGAGGTCATTCAACCACTAGGGTTCACCTGGAGTCCACACCGTGATCCACGCGTCACTCTGAGCCATTTTATCTTTTGTGCTGATAGTCAAGATCGCAGCTCTAACATCGACATCAGACTCTGTCTGGGCGGATGACTAAGAGTGCTGCACAGTGTAAACTTTTGACCCTCAACTTTTTGACCTGCAGTTGTAATGTGCTAACCACAAAGATACACAGCCCGAGCCCCCTCTTTAGGGGGAAGGGGCCCTCTAGATGTTAGGCAGTTCTGCTCCTGCCGTTTTCAGTTAGAATTAGAGGGTGGAGTGTGTATTTCTGTGTATTTGCGACCATGTTTCCTGTCAAACCAGCCTCCTGCTTCTCCTTCTTCTCTCTCCCCCCCCCCTTTTTTTTAAGTCAGGAATTAGGAGCTAGATTAACTTGAAATCACTGGCGACCACACTAAAGAGGACAGTTTAGGGGAGAACTAGAGAATCTTTTGAAGCAGAAGTGTAAGAAAAGAGGGGGGAGGGTGAACTGGCAAGGGAGTGGGGGCGGTTTTTGTTTTATTTAAAAATAAAGCCGTAGCTTTAATTGTTGGGCAAGCTGGCCCGGGCGGGCCGGTTGACTGTGAACTTGTACTAAAGCGTGCTCTGCTGGCGGGTCCTGGGGTGTGCAGATTTATATTCTCTGCATTTACTTAACCCGGCAGTGAACTGCATGGGCGCCATTTGTTAGGCGATGACAGACTTCACCTCCAGCAAGGACTGCTCCACAAAATCGCAATAATTACCCAGTAACCTTCATAACAAATATTATTATTGAAAAGGCCAGTTTGTGGAGATCAAATCGATGGAAGGACAAAATTCTTTTCAGAAAACACCAAGCACAACAAATCTGGGCTTCCCCTCCAGTTCTGAAGCCTAGTGCTCTGGAGCCCCCTCCCTGTTTGGCTGAACCCCTAGGTTGAACCCCTCACTTTTGCCTTGGCATCCTGTTTATACTCTTGTCATTAGCTAGAAGAAAATTTCCCCAATGGAAGCCAAAGGGCTACAGCCTAAGCTACCCTGCCTTCTTTATGATGGGCAGGGCAGGAGGAGATCCAGCCAGAGAAGGAGAGTCAGTAAGGGCATCTTGGAAGTTGAAACAGTTGCCTTCCTCTCTAACAGCCAATCTTCTGCACTTTGGTTGTAGGAATGCAACATTCTAGGACTCTCAACAAGTGAGAACCACTGTTTCTGGTAGAAAACTCTGTCTTGCTCTCCCAGAGCCAAAGGAAGCAGGGCAAAGTGAGGAATCATAGGAGAAAAAGGATCTTGGCATGATGCTTGAGTTTAGACCAGGGAAACCCTAACAAACCCCTAAGCAAGTGTTACCAGAAGTGTCCTATGGTACTCACAGTCAAGGGAATACACTCTTCCTGGCTTGTAGAAACAAACAGGGCTCTGCACATTTCCGCTACCTTCTCCTTTTACAAGAGAACACACAGATCTCTGCCACCAACTGAAGCTGGATGTCTTCATAAAGCCCTCAGTGGGAGAGTTTCTCTCTCTCTCTCTCTCTCTCTCTCTCTCTCTCTCTCTCTCTCTAAGTTCCGCTTTAAAAAAAAGATTCAAAAGAATCCATAAAAAGATATAACTCATCTACAAAATGAGCAGATAACCAATCACCTTTTTAAGTATGCTTCCCATGAAAACAGAAAGAAAACATTTCCTCCAATAACAGTCCCAGAGATCTAACTGGATGCTGTATTTCTCAAAAGTCACTTAACTCCATGTGGGTCAACCTGCCCTCTTAAATTCTACTTAAGCCTTGTGAAGATTAAAACAGACAGAAATAAGCAAGCTGACACCACTCATGGCCTGTATTTTTTTTTTAATTTGTGGGGAAGATCCCTGAGAACGTATTTGGTTCGATACAATACCATCAGCTTTTGTACCCACTCCCACACCTCAGGGTGTGGCCAGCGGGTGCAGTGGAGGCTTTCTTTCTCCTAGATACATCCACGAACACCAGCATTTCTATGACCCTTGGGTGGTCCCCCCCCCCAGTTTCAGCCACCAAAAATTAGGCAAGCAAAATCACCAGACATAGAACCGAAAGAGAACAACAACCCAGCATTTTCTAATAACTCAGAGCAGCAAAACAAAGAATACAGCATCCCAAGACACATCAAGTAGTAAGAAGCCATTTCCATGTAAAATTTTTGACTCCAGTTCCTTCCTAAGAGATGGACACCGTCTTCCTGAGTACTGAAGTTCCAATAATCACTCCACACAAAATAACTTTGTGGAGTCCTCAGCTCCCCACTGTTTAGGGGAAGTGTGATTTTTTAAGAGATTTTTTCCCCCAAATGTCCTAGGTTTTTCTTTCTTTGTATCTTTGAATTTGGGGCTTCTGTGGATCTACACTGAATGAAAGAGAGGGATGTGTAAGCAACACTTTAAAATGTTTCTCTTTAAGCACTTGGTCAATTCCTTTAGCAGCTAATACTTAAAAGGGGGGCCTACCCAGCTCCAGAGAAAAAGAAGAGTCCTTTCTTATTTTCATTTTTTGTTTCATGTCTAATCTAAATATAGGTGGAAATATTGGCTGAGCTCTTCAAACAGGATTGGGGGAATATATTAGGTCTCTGATGGGTACCTATCCTGAAAAGACCCCAGAACAGGCCAGCAGGTCCCTAGTTATTTGGTTTGCTTTGCCATTGAAGGACGTGGGAGGCTGGGGCCCGAATGGAATTGTACCCAGGAAATTTTTATTTCACCTAACTTCACTCATTGGTGCAATTTTGGAGACTGCTTTGGAAAACATATATTATGTAAATTTCCTGGGATCAAACAGAAAGAACAAATAACAAAAGAGATAAGGAAATCTCCTACTGACAAACGAGCAATTTCTTCCTAAACTACCCTTTATGGTGTGTCAAGAAAAACAGCCTAATGACTCTAGGAACTTTTAAGTTGGGCATTGAAGACACCTCAATTTCCCTCAAAACTTTAGGCACAGTTTCAGAAGAAGGAATTGGTCTGCATGTTGTATAGGGGTACGCTTCTCTCTGCCCTTAGTGTTATCTAGGGAGTCACCTAACTTGCCTTTTGGGGGTCCTGAGCATTGATGTCTTTCTCCTACAAAGAAATGGAGGAAAAGGAAAGAAGGGAGGCAGAAGAAAGGCAGGCGGAAGAAAAGAAAGCGCTTTCACCCCTTTCAGTTAGCCTGGGGATTCAAAGACTAAAGTTAAATCCGGCCATAAAGTTTATTGCTTCAGACTCACAGGCGGGTGAGAACTCGGAGGCAAAAAGAAAAGAACTGGCGAACAGGGTTCAGGGCCTGGCCCTGTGCGGGGAAGCTGAGTACCCTCTACCTCAGGTGGGGACCCGCTGCCCCCAGCATTCTGTGGATGCTAGCAGCCTGGTCTCTGCCACACAGCCAGGGCCCCAGCCAGCTTCTGCTGTCTCCAGCATCGAAGGCCGCCGCCTCAATTCAGTCCTGCCAAATGACCCTGGCCCGCGAAGACATATTGCCACAGCCCCATAAGGAATCCCGCCAGTATCGGCCTCGGCCCTGCCCGGGCCTTTCTTTCAAACTCTCCAGTTCAGTTCAGCCTTCTACCTCAGTGGCCCGAGCCCCTTCAACTCCCAGGCCCCCGCATCCCAGAGCTCCGCGACCCCCAAAGGCCTGGACCTGGCCAAGCTTAGAAAGAGGGACAGGGGTTGCCAAGTTTCACACACAGACCCATTCTCACACACACAAAAAATCATCTTTTTGCACGCCGGCGGGAGCAGCGGAAGTCATTAACATCCCCGATTGTGAGCAATTAAAGTTAGGCCTGGGATGCGGCTCGGCCACAGGCGCCGTTCACCGTGCTGCCCCACAAAGCTGGCTCTGACTTTGCTAATTTGGGCAGAGGGAAAAGTTTCTTCTCCCATTTTTTAATTCTGAGACTGTTTCAGCGTTACTGAGCCAGAGAGAAAGAAGAGCAAGAAACTTTTCGGAGTGCAAATAAACTCAAGAGGCGAGAGCTTACCTTAACTTGGAGGGAGCCATTTTTCAGAGAGTTTTGAGAACTTGTGGTTTGGACACTTCTGGACGTAAAATTGACAATTTGAATGACCAGGCAGCACACGTAGCCTGCAAAAGAGTCAAATGGAGTCCAGCGTTAGTGAGATTATATGTTATGTGGTATATAATGTTGGATGTCAACTCCCCAAAACCATAAAACTTACTTTAATGGCCCCACGTGACGTTTTATAGCCAGTGAGCCGATCTGTCTGTGCTATGGATGATTTTACGATCTAATTCATAGACAAAACCCTATTCATTTGGCACCCAAATGTCATATAGCCGGAACTGGGGCTTATAAAGTTTACTGTTATATAACTTTTAAAAGGAAAGGCGGCATCCGTGTAAGCAGTGGGTAAATGTGCAAATCTCTAGTTGCGCTTTAGCTGCTCTGAAGAGTTTCCCAATGGAGCTAGGATGGGGTAAGTACTTTCCATTTGTAGCAAATTAATTGTGGCAAAAGAAGCCAACTGGGTTAAGTAAGAGGAGTGGGGAAGGGGTACTAGGGTGGGTTAGTGGGCAGGGGGTTCGGGGTCTACATCCTGGCAGAGGATCCCCTTCAGCAAGGCCTAGGACAGCCTTGGGGATGAAGGATCTGTGTGGGCCGGACTGTGGCTAACAAAGCCCTGGCTTTTCTCTCCTTTCTTTCTCTCCTTGGCACCCACTAAGTTAACTTGGTTTCCTCAGAGATGGACAGGGTTGATTCAGGCCTTGGAACCTCTTACAGCTTTCCCCACCTGCTTCTGGCCTGAATTTTCTGATGGCTCAGAGTTAGGAAGGCCTTGTGAGTCAAGGTGGTGGTGGGAGGCCACCCTGAAGAGGCAAGCTGCCCAGGTAGCCTCAGACACACCAGCTTCCAGCACGGCTGGACAGACAGAAAAACAGAAAGAGCCCTTGCTTACTGTTTGGCACAAATCAGACGACCAAGAGAACTTACAATAGAAAGTTTATTTTTGTTTCCAGTCAGTATTTTTTCCTCAAAAACAAATACAAAAAAAAAAGCTGATCACAGTTTGCTTAAACAGCCAGACTCGAACAAAATTTGTAACTTTGTTCACAAAAACATACATCACTGAAGCTGCGCTTAGAAAAGCCACTTCCAGAGTTCGTGCAAAGGGTCCTACAAAGGCACGCAGGGACACACCGCTTGGAGTCACAGTTTCGTCACAGTCACTAGCCACTACACGATGAACAAGTTAAGTTGTGTCTCATCAAGTCACCTCTACGACAGCATTAATTACACAAGGAATATAGGTAGTTTGGATAAAAATATCTTTAACAGCTTGGAGCTATTGAGACAGGAACACTTCCACGCACATGCACGTTAACCAACTCAAGTGCAACACACAACATTGGCACTAAACAAGGTTGGGGGGGGCTTTTTGTGTGTGTGTGTTTTTTTTCTCTTTTCTTTTTTTTTTTGTTTTAGTTACTTCAAGTAACACAGCTTGCTTCATATAAATAAGTTAAAACATCTATTTTTTTTTTCAAGACAAAGCCATTCAGGACAAAGAGATGAACAGAGGCAGATCTACTTATACAGGCGCTATAATGGCAATAAACAGGCTCATGATTAAAAGATGAATTAGGGCAACGAGAACAGGGCTTCTTCACAGAAGGAACACAGGGGGAGTTTGAGACAGTCACCTTAGTACTGACATTACGGAGGGAGGGCTCCGCTAATACTGCTCAGTACTTTAACCGCCCAGAGGCTCAGGGGCGGAAGGCCCCTCCCGCCGCGGCCATGCTCATGCTTTTCAGCTTGTTATCTTTTTTCCACTTCATCCTCCGGTTTTGGAACCAGATTTTAATTTGTCTCTCGGAGAGGCAAAGAGCATGTGCTATTTCAATTCTTCTTCGGCGGGTCAGGTAGCGATTGAAGTGGAATTCCTTCTCCAGCTCCAGGGTCTGGTAGCGCGTGTAGGCCGTCCGGGCCCTTTTGCCTTCTGGGCCGCCTATGTTGTCTGCAACAGAAAAGTCAGCGGTTTAGCCACCAACTCCTTAGCACCTGGTTCTAAGACTCAGCCAGGGTCCTGAGCTGAGAGAAAAGGCTCAACAAGTCCCCCCTCCCTTTCCCCCCTTCCCGAATTTCCTTCCCTCTTCCTTTCTGAAGTGAAAACCAACAGGATTGGGACTCTGGACACAACCGGCCCACCTGAGGCTGGAACCCCCGTCTTGAAGGACAGCCTGGCTCTCCCTCGACCCCATTCTGCTCTTTGGCCCTCCAGGAGTTGTCATAAGCAGGGCATTGCCCTCCCAGGCTGCCCACCGCTCAGAAACGCACCAAAGCACTGCCTTTTTCTGAGGTCCCAAGTGGCCTCTGGGTCACCCTCCGTTAAAGTTCCAGCCGCCCTGGCCGCCTTCTGTTCCAGCCTATACGCTTGGGGCGCCCGCCCTCTTTTTCTTTTCTTTCATTTCCTCTCTCTCTTGGCCCCAAACTTCAGAATCTCGCCTTCCCTCGCCTGATTTTCCCCCCAAGCCCCTTTTAGGGGGCTGTAATTAGTAACGCTGTTTCCCCAGCATAGCCCTTCTCATAAATTATCCACCCTGACAAGCCCGATTCACGGCCCCTACTACCATCCCTACCTCTCCATGCCCTGCTCGGCTGGCCTGACCCTTAAGCGCGCTCCGAGGCACTGGGGTTCCACGTGGAATTTCTTCCTCTTTCAACATCTAAACTTTTGCTCGGCCACCCCATTCCCCCCAGTATTTGCGAATACAGGATGCTGCTGCAGTAATGGGGAGGAAGTAAAGAGGAAGGCAGGGAAAGGAAAACCGCAGGGAGAGGCTCTGCGGGCTGGAGAGAGGCGAGACTAGGCGAGAGACCCGGAGAGAGGCTGCAAAGAACAGAGGGTGACCGAGACCCGCGGCCCCACGGACGCGTGGATCAAAAAACGGCTGGCTTTACCGTGACTAATGTGCAGCTTGCGCATCCAGGGGTAGATCTGAGGTTGAGCTGGCGGCGCCGGGCTCGGCTCGCTCTGGGCGCTCGCCTGCTCGCTGCTGGCAGGGGCGTCCTCCTCGGCTGCGGACGCTGTGCCAACCCCCTCTCTGCTGCTGATGTGGGTGCTGCCCGCGTTGGCCGAGGCGCCGCTGGAGTTGCCCAGGGAGTTTTTGCCGCCGTGGTGGCTGTCGCTGCCGGGCGAGGGAGCCACCGCCGAGCAGGGCAGCGGGTCGGGCGGAGGCGAGTGCGTGGACGTGGCCGGCTGACTGTACCTGGGCTCGGCGGGCGCCGCACTGGCCCCGGCCGCGTAGCTGCGGGCGCGCTCGCCAGAGCCAAAGTGGCCGGAACCCGAACGGCCGACGCTGAGATCCATGCCATTGTAGCCGTAGCCGTACCTGCCGGAGTGCATGCTCGCCGAGTCCCTGAATTGTTCGCTCACGGAACTATGATCTCCATAATTATGCAACTGGTAGTCCGGGCCATTTGGATAGCGACCGCAAAATGAGTTTACAAAATAAGAGCTCATTTGTTTTTTGATATGTGTGCTTGATTTGTGGCTCGCGGTCGTTTGTGCGTCTATAGCACCCTTGCACAATTTATGATGAATTATGGAAATGACTGGGACATGTACTCGGTTCCCTCCTACGTAGGCACCCAAATATGGGGTACGACTTCGAATCACGTGCTTTTGTTGTCCAGTCGTAAATCCTGCCTGATGACCTCTAGAGGTAAACTCGTGCACTAATGGGGGAGTTGGGTGGAGGCGAGAGGGGTGGCGCGCGCGCCCTGGGCGCGTGCCCGACACCCGCCGCCGCCGTTCAGTCGGACTCGAGCGCCACCCTCTGGAGGCAGGGCGGATCGCATCGCTTCCGACCTCGGGATGCAAGGGCCGGGGTCGAATTGAGGTTACAGCCCATTATGGCAAAATTATTGCATTTCCCTCGCAGTTCCATTAGGATGTACCAATTGTGAGGCCGTCAGCTGCCGATCGCACGCCCGGCGAGGATGCAGAGGATTAGGGGGAGGTGGTGACTTGGAATTATTTACAACAACTTTATTCCCCTGGCTTTGTAGCCCCTCTTATTTTTGTGTAGAGGTTGGGGTCGGTCCTGCCCGTCCGGCCCGCAGCTGTGAATTTTGAAAACACAGATATCACCTTCGGGGAAGGGAAGACCATTTAGCCAATTGAAGAAATAAATTCTGCCAACAGCAGCAGTCACAATTAAGGCTTTTTCTTTTCTTTTCTTTTTTTTTTTGTTTGTGAGCGCGTGAAGGGCAGTGTCCCTGCCGCTCTTAAACGACAGGCGTCTATTAAAGACAGCTTTTGTGTAGTGTGTCTCCGAGGCGAGGTAAAATTCCATACACTCGTATAACCAGAGCCGATTTTTCTTCCGTGTAAATACGTTTTTCGTATCATTAGTTTGCTATCTGATTTGCTTATTTATCCATCCTGGAATATCTTCATCCCTGGTCTGGTTCCTTCAGCCAACCGGGCCCCAGGTAGCAGGGTTCTTGGTGAACCCAGAGAGTGGGCCCTGACTCCCTGCAGCCTCTGAGGCTGCTTGGAAGTTGGGAGCCGTGGGCAGAGCTTTTGGGGTCTTGCTTAGACCTCCGGGAGTAAATTGCGGGAACTAATGGAACCATTTCGTGGCAGTGCCTAGTATCTCCGTAGTTATTTTCCTGGGCTCCAAAAGACGAAATCAAATCACAAATGTAGCTGAGAGGCGAGCAGAGTCTCCCTACTAGAGGCCTGGCATCTCAGGCGCCCCTGGCATGCTTATTAGCCAGAACTCTTCAGGCTCCCATGGTCCTGGGCCCCCTCTTTTGGGTCCTGGGAGCTTCTAGGTGGCGGCGCCCACTCTGTAAGAGGCAGGGAGTGGGAATCGGGAGCAGGGAGCTTGCGGGAGCCTTGTCGCTCCCGAGCTTGTACTATTCCACTCGCGCCCAGGTTGGTTCGCCTCGGCTGAAGCTGCAGCTCTCCCAATGACTGTTATGCGGCGGTTGAAAGACTTGGTTCTGTCGGAGAAGAGGAGAGTTCTCCTTTGTTCCTCCGGCTTCTTGTTTAGGGGCATCCTGAGAAGCCACGACAGGGCTGGGGCCCAGCTCTTTAGGCCCTTTCTTTCCAGTAGCCAGAGCCGATTTGGCGATGCCCTTCCAGATTTGATGGCGAGGGACCAAGGCGGAAAAGCTCAGACAGCAAACCGGGCACTGCCTGGGCCTCTTTCTTCCCTCAACAACACCGCGTTTGTAGCTCAGGGAGCGCAGAGGCGCTATCACAGCAGCAGGGACAATTCTGGGTGCACCCCGGGACTCCCAAGCTGACTCGGGCAGCAATGGGGGAAAGAACCTGTGTGTGTGTACAGTATGTCTGTCCCACAGCTGACATTAGGTGTGTGAGTTTTGTTTGCTTGTTTTCTGTAATAAGTAAATGCGCAGACTCCTGCAAAGCTTTGGACTTCCCTAAGCTGCAGAAGCACCCAGGTGGGAGCAGGCTGAAAGAAAACTTGGGGAGCAGGCAGGAGCACCAGGGGGCAAAGCCAATAGAGGTTAGGACGCTGGCCTGGTCCCTGCCCTGGAGTCTACTCGCCCGCCTTGGCCTCAGAGTCTTCCCCGCTGGGTTGTGTGGAATTGATGAGTTTATTTTCCTTTTTCCACTTCATGCGCCGATTCTGGAACCAGATCTTGATCTGGCGCTCGGTGAGGCAAAGCGCGTTGGCGATCTCGATGCGGCGCCGCCTAGTCAGGTAGCGGTTGAAGTGGAATTCCTTTTCGAGCTCCAGCGTCTGGTAGCGCGTGTAGGTCTGGCGGCCTCTGCGCCCGTGACTCCCATACACCGCACCTGCAGGCAGAAATGTGTTGCGGGTGAGCGAGACCAAACAAATGCACTCCGTGTGCCTCCCCCCTGCAGTCTCTCAGCCTGAAAACTCCCTACTGCTACCCCAGCGTCTAGCACCGCCACCGAGGGCAAAAAGCCGGCTGAATGGCAAAGATGATTTCATACCAAGAGAGACGTTTTCGCCTAAAATCGACTTGGGGCGGGAAGTTATTGCTTTTGACAAATGTGTTTTGTTAGAAAACCATTAGAAGCGAGGAAATAGCATGGGCATTCTTAATTTGAGGGGCCAAAGTCACTGTTTCAAGGGAGGGTAGCGTTTATTTGTCTGTAAATGAAGTGGGGATCCTAGGAGCAGCAAGGAAACTGAATTCTCACATTGGTGTCTGTGAAAGATGCCATGGAGGCTCCTCGTGTGGGATCTCAGTGTATTTATGGAAACTGAAATATGGCCAGCCTTCTCCAATCTTTGCATATTGTTAGCAAGCGCTGTGATTCATCTGAAGGCTCTCCGCTGGGAGGGTGAGTTCTGAAGCCCTCACGAGGCTCTGTCCTGCTGCAGGGGGAAAGGGGACTCCCTGTGGGATCTTGGAAAACTTGGAGTAAAGAGATGGTTCCATAGGTGAGCTGGTGGGATCTGGCCCTGGTAGGACTGTGATGGGCTGTCCCGGTGCCAGAGGTACCCAAGCCAGGTGTGAGGCTCAGGCACGGTCTCAGGAGGAGATAGAAGTTGGCTTAAAGTGTGAAGTTGAGTGGAAGGTAGAAGTGGGAGAGAGAGAGAGAGAGAGAGAGAGAGAGAGAGAGAGAGAGAGAGAGAGAGAGAGAATATGAATATTCTGAGAAGGTGGCCTTCCACAGCTTCAGAGCTTTGCTGGAGACATTGAAAGAGGTCGAGTGAGGAAAAGAGGGCCTCTGCCTGCCTGGGTTTCTGGGCTTGCGAAGGGCAGAAGAAAGAGGAGAGGGAGTGTGGAGGAGTTTGTCCATGGTGTTTTCTGGAGACCCCTTTTGCTTGAAAACTTGAGGGGTGTTACGAGGGTGCAGCTGAGCAGCCTTCTAATCTGGACCAGACCCCCCCATTCTGTTGCCCCTGTTACAGGTCTCATATAGCTTGGCAGTGAATGAATCCTTTACACACTCTAAAGTGTCACCTTACATGGCTCTCCTGGCCCAGGCTTTCCTCTGGCTGGGCCTGATTGTCCCACTGGGAATGTTTAGGGCTCTCTCTCTCTCTCTCTCTCTCTCTCTCTCTCTCTCTCTCTCTCTCTTTCTCAAATTAAAAAAAAAGACAGATGGAAACTTTGTCCATTCTATCCTTCTTCCTTATCTATCTATCTATCTATCTCTCCTTCCTTTCTCCTTCCTTCCTTCCTTCCTTCCTTCCTTCCTTCCTTCCTTCCTTCCTTCCTTCCTTCCCTGCCAGCTTTTCCTTCTCCCTACACTCTCTAGGGTGGGGGAGCAGGGAAATGCCTTACCCGCACAGGAATTCATCCGCTGCATCCAGGGGTAAACAGGGCTCGTGTACTTCCGGTCGGTGCCTTCCTCATGGAGGGCTTTGCCCTGCACGCTGCTGCTGTCAGGTTTGTACTGCTGCTCGGGAGAAAAGTGCAGGTAGTCCCCGGGGCCCCTCTGCTTGCTATTGCCCGAGGGTGAGGCGCCACTGAGGTCCTTATCAGAATAGAAACATGAGGCCCCGTACTCGTAGGATGCCCGGTTGCAGGCCAGGACCGAGTTGGACTGTTGGTAGAAACAAGGTGAGGTGTATGTCTTGTCCGGAAGACTCGATGCCCCGTAAGAGGCCGGGAAGGGCCTCAGCGTGTCATAGCCGGCCGGGTAGAGGGGCAGCTGGCCCAAGAAGGAGTCCTGGCCGCTGGGCAGGCTCCCAGGGAAAGTGGGATTCACAAAATAGGAACTCATTTGCGCGCCCCTCTGCAGGACTGTGATTTGTTGTGTATTAGTACATCTGGCTATAACTATTAGTAGTCATCGAACTGGTTTGTTTCTGGATGGCCGAACGCCAAAAGCGACAGCAGCAAATCGCACCAGCTGACGCAGCGGCGGCCAATGGGAGCGAGCGCCGGAGCCCGCTCCCCGGGGACCACGGCGACCGAGGCAGCAAAGTTACAAACAGCCCCCAGCCCGCCCGCCCGCCCGCCGCCCGCCCGGCAGATTAATGGGCGCACACAGCCAGCCGGCCCCCGCTCTCCCCCACACACCCCTGAACGCCAGCGATGGGCACGGCCCGGGCAGGGATGTGTAGATCAGAGTCGAGTAGAGGCACTAGTGCCCAGGTCAATGAAAAGGCCCCACCAGGCCTGCCCTTTCCTCTTTCCCTTTTTGCCTTGTTGGTTTTTGCTGGTTTTCTCCTCCAAACAGGAAACCTGACAAGCCTGAGCCAGAAGGGGCGGTGACGAGAATGGCTTTGCTCTGGAGAGCCCTCTGTCCCAGGCGGGACCTGAGCTGCCCCTCCCCTTGTACTCCCTTAACCGTGGGTGTGGGTTCTTGCGCTGGAGAAGGGTCTCTGAGAAGCCAGGCCTTCACGCTGCTTTTCAGCCCCGTGCTTTAGGGATTCCTCACGGCCTATCCCCTCCCATGCTTATTACAGGTTGGGCCTTACTGCCAAAGGCTGAAAGACCACCCCTCGTAGACCAGGCCCAGGCCAAAGGCAGGGCCTTCCTGTACCCCCTTCTCCCCACTACTGCCCTCCATGTTTGACTCGCCTGCAATGGTCCGTGCCTGCGTGGGCTTAAAGCAAGCAACAACACCCACTGTGTACCGTGTATCCTGTCTGTGAACCCAGAAAATGAGAGGCTAAAACCCATAGTTTCAAGAAGAAATGGTCTACAGATCAGTGTCTGTGAGACCGGGAGACCGGACTAGGAAGCCATCCGTGAGACTTAACTCCTTTCACCCAGTGTCCCATGCCCCCGACTCCCCTAAGCTACTGGACCGGCTTAGAGCAGTGACAGATAAAACTCCACATGCACTTTATCCCTAGTCTCACTCTAGAAGCAAGAGAGATGCAGGGCCCCAGCTGAGCAGGGCTCGGAGTGCAGCTCCTGCGGCCCAAATCCTGGCACAGGATAACTGATGGGCTTGGCTTCCCGGTAGTACATTGATTGCGCTGTCGTGGGGGCATACCCACTTTCCCCCTGCCTCCCCACCCCCAAAATACTCCTACTGGGGCAGTAGCTACAAACCAGAACAGCTCTGCCACTCTGTCACTAGCTCCATAATCCTGAATTGCCTTGACCACCGGCTCAGGCCTGACGAGTCCCAGATTGGACCTGGAAAGCCTGTCTTGGGCTTCCATGCATAAGGATCAGTCTCATTTTGTAAAACGTGATATCGGTTCCATGGCATTTTCACAACTGTGTTTGTAGGGTTTGTAAAAGCCCTTGATTCGGCTTTAAAATCCCCAATTGCGTGGGCGGCAGAGACTGTTTACAAGATTTGGTTGGAATTCAGGAGGTTGTTTGTAAGATCTGTAAAACCCTGGTTCGTGCGGACTGACCGCGTTTGGGCCGAGGGGACAATTGGGAATGGTACTGTAGGAATCTGGTAACGACTTCCTTAATCTCTTCCTTGCTTTTTTCCCCCTGACCTTCCCTCCTTCCCCCTCAAAAAAGGCGAAAGCTAGAAAAGGTCTTGCCTAAGGTCGGCCTCCAGAGAGCCTATGAAAGCACACCAAAGGAAGGCTGTACCACAAACGGTGTGCCGAAGTCTTTATCTCTCCAACCCAGGAAAGTTTTTTTTTCTCTCCATAAGACCAAGAGTTATCCAGGAGAGGATAAAATTTAGCGTTTCTCACAGAGAAAATGCAATACACAAAACACAAAACATGAAAACTGGGGAGAAAAAAGGGGGATTTTTTTCTTAAAATGCTCTTTGAAGAAAATAAGTTTGAATTATTGGTTCTTAAACAAAAAAAAGCAGATAACAATTATTTCAACCAATGTCATTTGAAGCGAAAATAGTCATTTTGCAAGTGTTAATTGTTTGTTTTTATCGTCTCTCTTTCATTCCTCCCTGTCCCGCACAGGGTTGGAGCTGGCGACAGTTTACCACTCGTATTGTTATGCTTTGACCTGGATTCTAGATTTAATTGTCTCAGCCAATAAGAGAATTTGATTTCTCAGCTAGGAGCCAGAAAATGTATTTCCAGCTTTTGTAAACATTAAGATGGGAAAAAATTAAATTGAAATCTTTACATATAAGACAAGGTTAGTGCATATTTCAGTTGGCAGTGGACCTGTTTATTTTTCAATATGTATATATGGGGGGCGGGGAGTCAGTCAGTTCTGATGGATCCACTGAGTGGGGAGCAAGATCTCCACACTCTCCACAGAGCCTCTCCTAAGGTTATGAGAGTGACCACCCCAGGACTCTCTGCTAGGTCAAAGCCACACAGAAAACTTACCTTTCATCTTCTCTTCAAAGAGGCTAGGATAGCAGTAGGGTCGCAGAGTTTTCCCTTGCCCTGGGCTGCCCATTGAGCCCCTCCACTTCGGCCAGCCTGACAGCGGGGCCTGCAGGTGTGTGGGAGGACCCTGAAGGTCCATCTCCATCCAGCCAAATCTCTAGCCCAGAGCCCAAAGCACACAGGTGTGGCCTCTGCCAGTCAAAGGCCCTCTCCAAGAGCCGCCTTCCATGCCATAGCCAATTCTCAGGGCCAGCCAGGCCAGCAAGGCCTCACAACTACAAATGGTCTCTCCGACGTCAGACTCTCAAAGCCAACGCCTTTCCCGACTGGCAACTGACGTGCGCCCCCAGGGCGCCTTTGGGACGCGTAGTTTGGACAGAAGCAGCCATAACCGGCCAAGCGGCCTGTACAACCAGTCTCCATGGTGCTGGGTTGGGGGCGAGGGAAGGACCCGAGTCTATTCCGGCGGCTGAGGTTTCTGTCATGGATAGCCGAAGCAGGGAGGTTTCACAGCCAAACAGACCCTGGGAGATTGCCCCTGATGCCCGCCCCCCTTCCCCTGCTTCTGGGGAAATCTCTGAGGGGCCCGCACAGCAGTCGCGCCAGGCTCGAAGAGGCGGGCCGCTGCTGGCGCCCGTCCCGGTGACGGCCACAGCGTGGCAGCAGCGAGCTCGCAGCACGGTCGCAATAAATAATCTGCCCGAGGCAGCCACAGTCAGGCAGTCAGCGGCCCTAGGAGGCAAATGCGGCGGCGCTTTATCTGCCCCTGCCTGGGGCGCACCCACAGCGTTGTCCGCTGAACACCCCAAATATCAAAGTGTTATTCTTAATTGTCTGGCCAATACTGAGATACTATCTTGTGATAGGAAAACAACAACAACAATCAAAAACCAAATAAGCCAAAAAGAACTATAGCCCAGAATCTCGCTACTCATTCTCCAATGTCTCTGTCTCTCCCGGGAAGGGCAAATCTGACCTGGTCAGATGCGTTTTCAGGCTCAGTCACCATGACTGGTACCACCGCGCAATGCAAAGCTACAGCCAGGACAGCAGCACTTGCGGCTAGCTGTGGTCCTCTCCCTGGTTGCTCAAGAGATAGGGGACCTTGAACATCATCCTTCCACTGCCCTTAGGTTGGTTGGGGCTGCCATCCTGTTATTTCTCAATTTTCTTTGAGATTTTTGCAATTTTCTTTCAGAAACCTTAGGTTTGTTCCTTCCACACTCGCCAACACAACAGTCCTCTGCACCGAGACATCCCCCATTGGCACCCAATTAATTCGATTCTTTCCTCCAAGACAGAATTCCACATATGCATCTAGCCCCTTTCTCGGGGGCTCCAGACTGGCGGAAAACCGGGCAAATGAAGCAGGCAATCACCGGAGAACTCGGAATTAGTAAGTTTTGCTTTTGTGTTTGCTTGTTTACCTCATCCTCCTTTCTCCCTGAGACTAGCCCCACTGGAGGGAACAGAGAGTTGTGGGCTACCTCGCTTTTCTCTCCCCTCTGCCCACATTCCCAGGTAGGGACCTAGCTCTGATATTGGGGAAGTCAGTTAAATCAATTTGGGTCATGAATGAAATAATCCCAAACCCCAGGGCTTCCCGGGGTCACCGGGGAAGGGGGAGTGAAGACCTAAGCGCTCTTGCCCAGTGCCAGGGCACTGTGCCACAGAGGGAAGGCCGATTTGCCTTGTGAGTGGCGAAGGTGTTGTCGGTAGTGGGTGAGAATGAGTGACGTGTTCGGGCTGTTGTGTGAAGGGACAGTATGGATGATGGTGAGAAATGCCCCTTTTCAAAGTCGTTCTGGGTGTCCTTTGCTTCCACCGTGGCACCTCACCCACCTTTCCCACATGTCTCACCTTCAGACCGCGGCTCCCAGAAGCTCCTGCCTCTCTGACAGCTGTCCGCTTCAGCAGCCCAGGAGACGAATTGTCCTCCTTCCTGGTGCCAGAGGAAGCAGGAAATTAGCCAGGTTGTGAGTTGCAAAGCGGCGGCTGCTGCTCCAGGAACTGGACGCGCCCCACCTCCAGCGACAGCGGCGGGCCTGGGCCTGGCAGTGGCTTCCCCTCGCTCGCCATCGCCGGACAAAGCGCAGCCCAGGCAGGCTGAGAAGGCAGAGCTCCGAAGCACGCAGGACGGAGCGGAGCACAAGAATGCGGCTCTATTCTCGCAAGGGAAATTATAAAAAAGTTCATGTTCACGGTTCCTATCCACATGACCGACAGCGGCCAATGGAAGGGCCGAACAACTCATAAAGTTGTATTGCAAAGTTGTAAATTTTCATAAACAACAACGGATTTATGACCCTTTCCCCATCACTAAGAGGAGGCAGCTCTTACACCGGCGCCATCTTACCACTGAGGCTGTCCCGACTTGGGGCTGCAGGTTTTACAGACCCTTTTAGGTCCGATTTATTAAAAAAGAGTCCTAAGAAACTGGTTCAACCCAGCCAGGAGATAAGAATGGAGATCTTCGCGGGCCAAGCTCAGGATCCTCTAAGCTACTTCCACCGCCCCTGGATCCTGGTCCCTCGCTGCTCGCCCCTTCCCCAGCCACAGTTACTCCTCCGCAACAGGACTTGCCTAGGTTGCGCAGCAGACGTGTTTGAGGTCCAAGGCAGTCCCAGAACCCCTCCACTGCAGTGTTACGCCCCGGGGCATCCTTTGCCTCTACTGAAGGCTAAGTAGGGGTGCTGCGGCAAGTACCCTGAATCCCATTTCCTACACTGGGGCTGGACTCAGGGCGCATGCGGAATCCGGGATCAGTTGGAGGGTAGGTAAGATTATTTGAGAGCTCAGTTTGCACCTTTAGAGGAAAGGTTGAATTTGGAATTCGTTCTTGGAATGTGTGAAGTTTGGGAGGCCGTAGATAGAATATACGGTATTAACTAATAGCTGTTTTCAGTGGATGTAGATATTGGTGCGCGCACACAATAGCCAGACAAAAACATCTACAAGGAGGAAGGCACATAAGCAATCATAGACACAGAACAACGTGCAGCTGGACACAGAAACCCACACATCCTATTATAGACAGGGAAAACGTGAATACACAACAGATATACACACATTATGGATGTGGAAAAGGGCACAGTCATGAAACCTATAAGCTGTCACACATAAAAATTAGAAATACGCTTTATTCGTCCAAATCTAAACACAAAACATGGAAAAAGAGACATGACACATTTATGCATGAATATTTAAAATTTGGACTCCAGGACAGTTTCTGCACGTTGGCTTCCTCTCGGTCCTTTAACCTGCAGACAGGGCTTGCCCTTTAGCTATGGCCACCTCCCCTAGCCCCAAACCCCATGAAGAAAGCAGTCAGTGTTTCTTTGTCATCAGGCATCTTTATTGTTACATAAAACATACGTAAATGGGCTGGGAAGCATGCCTTCCCTGAACCCCAGGCTGGGTCTAAGGGGGACATGGGACAACACGGGGGGAAAAAAGGGCAGTGGGATGGGTATTAGACCCCTCCCGTCCACAACAGAATTAGTTCAATACAACACACCATGCTACAAAGTCACCCCATTTAAACATCCTTCCCAAATCAAGACATTCCTTTACAAATGATCTCCAAGATTATAGAAATGACCAAAAAAAAATCTGGTTCAAATATACAGTATCTGTCCTAGGTAGGAAAAGTCAGGGCCTAAGTATACATGGCTGAACAGTAGGACACAGAAGCTAGGGAGGGAACAGTGAGGCTGGGAACATCTCCTTAGTCCCACAAAAGCCAGTCTGCAGCGAGCTCAGGAATGCTCCCCTCCAGAAACAGGGGTAATGGCCCTGAATTTGAAGTGCCAAAGCCAAAGAAAGAGGGATTCTAGGTTGCAGCATTTGGTATGCTTTGGAATAAATATATTATTTTTCAATTTAAATAGAAGCCAATGCCCTGGTCCCTGAACCTCATTGCCTTGTCATTGAAGCCTCAGTGACCCCAAAGACTGTCAGCTAGAAGCATCAAGGCCTGGCCTGGGAGGAGTGGGCACGGTGAAGCAGAAAAGCTAGCCAGCACAAAATAGGTAGTTTAGGCCTAGTAGGTAGTACTGGTCACGTGTTTTGCAGGGGTGGGGGGGCAGGTGCTGGGTGTCTGCCACTGTAAGGATGTGGAGGGAGCTTCTTAGGAGTGCGGCCCACTGGGTTGGGCCCATAGGTAGTTTGGGGGTGCCTCTCAAGGAGGCCTGTGCTAGGTAGTATTTTGACTGTGCCAGCGCACACACTGGCCCAGGGTTGGGGGTATCTACTGAGGTCCTCAGAGGCAGAGAGGGTCCCCAAGGTGACCTACTTTCCCCCTGGGAGCTAGAGTGGGTGGTGGGGTGGGTGGGATGAGGGTGGGGACTGATTCCCTCTTTCTCTCTCTCTTTTTTTACACTTTATTCCTCCCCCCCCCCCATTTTTGTAACTAAAATCAGTGAGTCTCTTAAAGACGCTTTTCCGACTGTCCCGTGCAGTCATGGCCCTGTTCCTGGCCCTTTATTCCTCTTCCTCCTCTTCCTCCTCCTCTTCTTCCTCTTCCTCCTCATCCGCCTTGTCAGTAGCTGCCTTGGAGACGGAGGGCACCGCGTCTTCGGGGGGCACAGAGGGAGCCTGGCTCTCATCTTTATGCTCTTTCTTCCACTTCATGCGCCGATTCTGGAACCAGATCTTGATCTGGCGCTCGGTGAGGCAGAGCGCATGGGCGATCTCGATGCGGCGGCGCCGTGTCAGGTAGCGGTTAAAGTGGAATTCCTTCTCCAGCTCCAGCGTCTGGTAGCGCGTGTAGGTCTGGCGTCCCCGCTTTCTATCGGGTCCTGAGAGCAGAAATTTGGACATATAGACAAACAGACAATCAGGCTGCGATGTGGACAGAAGAGTGTTTTAGTCAGGCCCCGCTGTCCAAGAGCCTGTACCTTCTACCCTGCCCAAACCCAGGAGCAACCCCCATCACCCCCAATTGAGCTGGGGGGGGAGTGTGAGAGGAAGACCCCGGGGCCAGACAAGCGAGCCAGTCTGTGAAGAGCCTTACAGCAGAATCCCAACTTTACAACCGGCCTTTCCAGCCGGCTACGTTTCTACAATGTCCTGCTTCCCCTTGACAAAGGGAAATTGTAAATACAGAGTGTGGCAAGTGGGAGACTCTGCACTTTTGCCATTCAAAGGGAAGCTAAGCCGCTTTCCAGCCTGGCTAGAAAGTGGGCAACCCTCCTAGGCAGCCCCATGCTCAAGACCTTCCTGTGGCAATCCCACCCTCTGTCCTATTTGGTCCAGCAAGGGTCTGGAAATGGCCTCTGGTACAGGGGTGAGTGGCATCCCGGAGGTCCTGGCTCTCCTTGCCTTTGAGAACGAAAGCCAGGCCAAAAGAAAAGGAGTAGGGAAGGAAGAGCTGGAATCACGAAAGGAACGGAGAACAGGAAAGAGGACTTAGAGGAGAGAGATTGAGGGAAAGAAAAAGAGGGAGAGGAAGAAGGGGGACGGGGGGGGGGGGAAAGAATGAGAAAGAGAATAGCGGATAAACTTACTGTAAAAATTCCAAGGCAAATGGAGTTAAATAAATTTACGAGGATCGAACCCATTAATTGGGCCATAAAAAGTTTTATGGGCCTCATTTACATACAATGCTATGAGTCTCTCCACGCTGTGGCGCCTCAGCTCTAATTAAAACCAGAAAGGCAGCGCCACCGGGACTTGCGGGGCCGCTGGCTGGAAGCCGCCAGACTGGGCTCCCCGCGCCCCGCGCCGGCACCCCCCCCCCCGCCCCTCTGCTCCGCCCGCACACCGACCCGGCGGACCGAGGCGCCTACCTGAACTGCGCATCCAGGGGTAGATGCGGAAATTGGCCTCGGCCGGGCCATGCAGCACGCCCTCGTCCGCCTTGTCGCAGGCGCCTTTGGCGAGGTCACTGCAGAGCCCGGGGATGTTTTGGTCGTAGGAGGCGCAGGGCAGGTTGTAGGCGTCGGCGCCCAGGCCGTAGCCCGACGCGAAGGGGCTCTGATAAAGGGGGCTGTTGACATTGTATAAGCCCGGCACGGTGGAGGCGAAGGCGCCGGCGCCCGGCCCGTAGCCGCTTCTCTGCGAGTTGGGTGCAAAGGAGCAAGAAGTCGGCTCGGCATTTTGGAAGAGAGAAGCCCCCGCCGTATATTTGCTAAAAAGCGCGTTCACATAATACGAAGAACTCATAATTTTGACCTGTGATTTGTTGTCCGGCAGCTTTCAGTGTCGGTTTTACGAGGTAGCGTGATATATGATAACATTACACCCCCAGATTTACACCAAACCCCATTTTCTTTTGGACGGAGCTCGCCGCGGCACGTGACCGCCCACATGACCGCCTCCGCCAATCTCAGCAGCCCTCACAGGTGGTCTCGCGCCACGGGCCGGCGGCCGCCTAGAATGGAAGGGGAAGAGGCTCAAATACGCGGCCCACGCAGCGGCCTGCACCCCGCCTGCCCCCAGACGCCCGAAGCAGTCAGAGCCCCATCCTGGTGCCCGCGCCTTTGGATGTCCGGCAGGGCTCGCCCCCCACAATCTCATTACCGATTCCTGAACCCCAGATCCAGTGTGTGGATTCCCGCTGTCCCTGTCCTCTCTGCAGACTCAAGCCCCTGAAGGGTCTCTGCAACCTGTCGGCCCAAAGATGGTCTTGAGAGAAAGATCTCTCTGCCCACTCTCTCTCTAAGCAGAACGATTAAGCCCGGATCTGATGCGCCAGGACAAACACCGCAGGCGCAGCGTCTCCTCTAGCTAAGCAGCGAGAATGCTGCCACAAACTGGAACCATGTGGTTTGAATAAAGTCAATGTCTCCCAGCTTCCTTTCTTTAATCGGCGGAGCACTGTTTATCCGCTCTAAAGGAAGCAGTGAAATATTTATCTATTAATGAGCCTCATTTGCCAACAGATTTATTAACATGAGATTCCCTTTCCTCCTCCCGGACACCGCCGCCCTGCAGACTCTCTGCGTTCACTCCTGGGCACCTGGCTGGCCCTTAGCAATCCAGTAGGTGGCTCAACACCCCCTTTGTCCTTCCCACAACCCCTGGTGTTACCCCCGGATCACGGGAAAACTGGGTCATCCTCCCGCAGCTTGGAAGCTTGAGCCCACAATTTTCTAAATACATCCTTCATAATGAAAGGTTTGGAGCAGCTTTCAACCAATTTACCCCTGGACCTCCACTTGTGGGCCGGGAAACGGTAGACTTTTAAATCTGGTTTAGAGAGAAAAGAGGGGGTGTCTCCGGGACTGGGGCTGTAGCCCACGATAAAACCCCGGTTTTTTTAGGAGACTAGAAAAAGCAAATAAGGAACCCTCTCAAGGGCCAACTGGATCTCACAGCTTCACCTTTCTTTCTTTCTGCACAAACGCAGTCTCACTCTCCCAAACAGTCAGTCTCTCACCCTGGGCGCCTACCTTGCGGGGCTTCAGACCCCCAGCAGTGATAGATCAGATGAAGGCCCAGCTGCCCACCGCTCTCTGAAGGATACTTGGGTGAACTCTTTCCCTAAACGCCTCATAAACTGCCCAGGCCGTGCTGGAAGACCAGCCACCTTTTACTGCTCAACTCGATTGCACATCATAAACCCGACTTCACAATGGAATTGCCCCGGAAATGCTCCTCTAAATTATAGAGTTTGGTTGCTGGTGTACAAAGCATTTTCTTATCACTTTCAGTAGGTCCAGGCTACCCCCCTCCCCCGGTTCACCGCATCCTCTCAAGGGGGATCTTGGAAGCACAAAAGAGGAAGGACGGTTCAAATCCCGCTGCAAGGGAGCCCCAGCACCTACCTAGCAAAGGGCCCCAGACTTCGGTAGGGAGGAGGGCAGGTGGGATCTGGGCTATCTCCCCCGGAGCATAGGAACCCTAGGGCGGCAATATCCGGGATCCCCTTTATGGCGGATCAGGATGGGAAACAGAGGGGTAAAACAGGAAGGGGGGGAGAATCCAAATAACAGCGTCTTGTAATAGAGAAATAAAATTCTAAAAAAGCTAAAGGAAGACGAAGCTAACAAAAAGAAGGCTAGGAGATCAAAGTGGAGAAATTAGGCGGCTTTAGACCAATAAATTGTTCCTGGGGTGACACGAAGCAAGGCGCAAAGTGAAAGGCTAGGCAGGCCGCCGCGGTCTGTCTAGACTCTGGCGACTGGCGCAGTCCAAAGCGACGATGTGAAAGTGGAACCTTCCTTTAGAAGAGGCCTGACAACCAGAGTACGGAGCGATTTGCGGTGGCCCAGGAAAAATCACACTCACACGCCTAGGAAGGTCGTCTGTTTTGGGCACGGGCACGACCAAGGAGTCAGGGCAAGAGGCTCTGTCCCCGTTTATCATGGCCAAATATGGTCCAAATTCTGCTGCTTTCAAGGCCTTGGCACTTGTGAGCACAAGTCTTCCATCTGAGCAGGGGTCTCGAGGTCACCGAAAACCCTCCCTTCGTTTTTGAGTCTCTCTTCCCTGGCTAGACTTCACAACACAAAAGTCTGGACAAAATCAGACTCTCAATAAAGTCTATTTAATTCTACGTTCTCTGGCCATTAGTTCCCTATTTATTTGACAGAAATGTATTTCTCAGTATGATAATATTCACATACTATTCAACTCAGGCCCTGGAGAAGACGCCTTATAAACCAGCTTTTAATCTGCAGAACAATCTAAATATTTCTCAACGCTTTCCCAGATTTAGGTCTCAGACCGACTGTCAGAGTTTGCTTCCTGTGTTTCCTGTCGCCAAATAGTCCTCAATGTTTAAATCTAGATATAGAATATAAACTCAGCCCTTGACAGAGAATGGCATTTTCTAGAGAGTCGAATGGTTCCGAGTTTGGGGTCTTTAAATGTTTCTATCCTTCTCCCCCGCATAGACTGCAGGCTTCAGCTTCTGTCCCCCACCTGGCAAGCGAATTGTAGCTTGGATGCGGACATCAATTCCTTCCCGAAGCGAAAAAATAAGCTCGGTTTCTTGCCGGGTCTTGCCTGGATGAAGCCTCTCAAGCAGCGAAAACCAGAGAGCAGCCTGCCGGCCGTCAGTCGGCCAAGGGCAAGGGAGGCTGCCGGCCTAGGCAGTTCACCAGGCCTCTGAGCCCCTAGAGGCCCGCACCTACCGGGGCCTTTGTGATCCGACAGAGAAGGAGTGCCCCCAACCTGTGACTTTCATTGTTATATAAACGGAAGCTTCTATTTGTGCCCACTGGTTAGCGGGTTCGCCGCTTATTTGCAGTTACATAAAAAAGATTTCTGAGGATTAGGGTAGGCGAGCACCGGTGACTCTCCAGGAAGCTATAAAGCCTTTCTTACAAGCACAGGCTGTGAAGTAGTGTGTTACATACAGAAATACAATCATGCTGTGTGTCTGTAATGCCCACGTGAATATAGGAAGATTTTATAAAAAGGGAGTAGGAGGGAGAGAGAGAGACGGAGACCCAGGAGAGATGTCAGCCAAAATCGAGTCCCTAGTTTTATAACGTGTTCAGCACGGAGATGCGAGTCGTAAGCGTTTTGTGGGTTTGGCCGAGACTATTACGACCCAAATAAATGCACAGCACAGGCTTTACTTGAGGCGCTTCGAAGGACTGGTTCTCTGTCTGCTCCTGTGTTTTCTTTCCAAAACCATCCTACACCGGGGGCTGATCCTCGCACCCGGCCTCATTTGCTCCAGAGTATGTCCCTGTATCTAGTATTAAAAGTAGGCTGGGAGTGGATTGGGTTTATTTATTTGTTTGTTTGTTTATTTATTTATTTATTTATTTTGCTTTTAGCCTCCACAGCCGGCGACACCAGCCACAGTAGCCTTGGTATTCCATTGCCAAAGAAATATCTCTGCCAGAGAAACTAGGGCGATTTCAACCTCGTGACCGCCAGTCCTGGAGCTCCGATGTTATTCTACTTATTTAAACATATCATTTATTTCCAAATACAGTTACTAGTGTATGACCTGAGTTACCAGAGTGCGGCCAAAATTCGCGGCACTTCTACACTAGATAACCACCAAATACGGTTTTATAACTAACCAATTTTCAGCCGCCGAATTTTAAAGTCAGATATTCAAACCGGCCGAGTCCTGACGTCTGTGCTCTCTCGCTCTCTTTCTGGTCCTGGCCCGCTAGGCCCTAAACCAGGGCGCAGGTTTCGGGGCCTCGAGGGTCGGCGGAACCCGTGGTCACTGGGTGCTTTCTTTGTGGGGTCATCTAGTCCTGGGGATGTTGGTTTTCGATCCCTTGTCCGTCTGTCCGTCCGTCCATCGTGAATGACCGTCCCCGCGCGCCTCGCTACCCCTAGGTCACTGCTGGGTTGGGGACTGTGACCCCGGAATGGAACCTGCTCTCTGAGCTGCAGTCCCGCACCTTCCGCACCACGGCTCCCACGCAATGCAGTGGTCTCCGAATAGAGCCTGAGATGAGAGAAGCGAGCGCCGGCGGTCAGGCAAGCCCCGGCGCATGCTTGTGTCCCCGGGAGGCTTTCAGGTTGGCATGAGCAGCAGGGAAAATAAACGACTGCTGGTCACGCAGATCCCATTCCAGAAAGGCGCGTTTCAAGTCGACATTTTAGGAGCTTCCTAGGTCGCGGCGGCGGGAGATGGCGGCTGGAGTGCCTCTTGCGTGGAGCCACACTGCCATCTCCTGGATTTTTCTTGGCACTGCAGCCGCAACGGCTCGGGCCCGCGTGAACTTCGGCAGCGCCGGTGACCCCACCAGTGTCCCACTCCCATGGGCGGAGCGAGGGCCCTGTCCCCCAGGATCCTCGGGGAGCCGGGAATCTACGCTGCAGAAAGGGCAATGCCCATAAAAAAGGGCTGTTTCCGCAGTGTCTTTATCGGAGGCAGACAGAGCAAACAAATGAAAGGGTTTTGGTGGGATACCCTAATTGGAGCTGGACAGTTGTAAACTCATTAAGAGCCGAATTCCAGACAGTTCGCAGACCTTCCTTTATGGCACACCCTTACTGCCCAGGCTTTGAAGTTCTTTCTGTCTGCAACAACAGAGGGCATGCCAACCTGGCGGCGCATTGTGGGTGGGGGCGCCCCATCCACCGGCGCCCTGATACCCCTTTCTCGCATTAGGAGCCGGTCAACATTACGGGGCAGGGAGGGGGGAGAGTTGTGAAGAAAAGGAGTTTGGGGGAGAAGCAAAGCAGAATCCTCTGGCTTCATCTGGAAGGCGCTTGAGCCTCCGAAATTATAGCTGTTCCCCCCACGCAGCCCTTTACACCCCATAAAGGGTAACAGCCCTCATTTTCTTTTATGGCACTTTGGGGCTTGTCGGTTGCTAAGGCCTGCTTCTCTGAGGACTTAAGCTCCGGAGGTGGCGTAGCAGTGTAGGACGCAGACACCGGCTCCCCTCCCCAACCTACACTGGACCGGTTGGCAGGACCCAGTGGGGCAGGAGGGTGCAGATTTTCCATCTCCTGGAAAGCTCCGAATATATCAAGGGCCCACTTCATTGTCCATATCTGGCTCCCATTCATCTCTTCAGAGCAGGCCACAGGCCCTCAGCTTCTGGTCCTGCGCCCCTTAACTCGACCATTCTACTTCCAAAGGCCCCAGTCCTTTTTGTGGGTTCAGGTTTGGGAAATTTTTTTGAGGCACCAAAATGGAAAAAAAAAAAAGACTTTTCCACCGCTGCTGGCCACCGCTGCCCAGTGCTTCTGTCCAGGACCTCAGATGCCTCTCTTGCCTTCTGACAAATAAGACACGAGGCCCAAGTGAATGGCTATGCCCAGAGTTGTGTCCCCCACCACCCCCACCGCTTTCTACCCCTGCTTCTACCGACCCGGTAACCGGATGAGTCGGGAGAGTTTAGGCCTGGCCGGACTGGTTACCGCAGATGCCGGCTCAAGCACCTTGCTGAAGACAGAATTAGGGTTCTTTCCCTTCATCTCAGCCCTGCCTCCACCCAGAAAATAGACCCAGAAAAAGAAGGTACAAAGAACAGATCCGCACAAAGTAAAAGAATCAATATATTTTATTTGGCAAAAGTTAAATATTTCAACACAACAATTTGGTCAGTAGGCCTTGAGGTAACTATTGCAAAATATACAGTGTACGCTCAGTCAGATGGGAACCCCAAATTCATCAAGGATACAAATCTACAGTAGCCTAATGGCGGTTTCATGGTGTATAATTTATTATCAATAAGATTAACTCCATTACAATAAGCACTCATTCCCCCCCCCCCAATTAAAATTAAGCGTAAACCATAGGTAGTAACCCTCTGCACATATGTATAGCTCCGAAATTCCTTATTTCTCCTCTGGTGCAAAAACAATTTTCAAGCTTGTCTGATTATGCGAGTCTCTTTAATATGGAGATTCTATATACATTGGACAAGACTGGAGTCTAGAACATGTAAAGATGAAGATGCCCACATTTCAACAGGAGAGACATGGCGAATCTCTGCGTCCTGGAGAACTACCTGCCTTCTCTTTCTGAGTCTGATTTCACTGGGAAATCCTTACAGCTAGTGCACAGTATCCCACTACAGAGCTATACGCAATGCAACTGCTTCTCTTCCCCCTAAGCAACCTGAGTTCAAATCGAATTCTAGCTTCCACGATCACAAATGGGTGCCTCACCCAGCACAGAAGTTTGGGTCACAAAACATAATTACCACAGTAAAACACAGTGTTCAAGTATTTTGGCAGCGTGACCTGCCACACAAAGAGCAAATTAAATTAACTACAGAGACTAAAAACTATACAGCCCGTCAACAATTGTGCATTTTATATAAAAAGGTAGTTTTTTTTTTCTCCTTTTGCTTTTAGTCAGAAGCAGGTAGATTTTTTTTAAATATATATATACAAGCTAGCAGTACAGCCATCAGAGCTAATGCCCTCCCTTGTGTGTGTGTCTTATAGAAAATGGAAAGCATACAATACCTCCTCCAATAAAGCCGCAGGCCTAGGAGCCAGCCTGAGCAGGGACTGCCAGGGGGAGATGAGGCCTGGGGTTTAGAGCCGCTTTGAGCGGGTAGGATAGAGGGAGAGGAGGAAGAAGAAAACAGACAGTCCTTTCTTTTTCTTTCTAGCTTGCTCTTTCCTAAATGAGCCCCGCATGGCTCATTCGTCTTTTGCTCGGTCCTTGTTGATCTTCTTCATTTTCATCCTGCGGTTCTGGAACCAGATCTTGACCTGCCTCTCGGTGAGGTTGAGCAGCCGGGCCACCTCGTACCTCCGGTCCCTCGTGAGATACATGTTGAACAGAAACTCTTTCTCCAGTTCGAGCGTCTGATGCTTTGTATACGGGCACCGTTTCTTCCGTGTGGAGCGAGCATGAAGCCAGTTGGCGGCCGGGTTATCTGCAGGGGAGAGAGACACTAGTTTAGAAGAAGGTATCCTGGAAGGGTGGGAAGGAGCTGAAGTGCAGGATGCCGCTGAATTGGTTAGAGAAAACACAATGAGCCCTGGCAGACGGACCCACGGAGGGTCACCTACACCAGCACCCCTCCAATCCCCGCCCTCCTCTCTCCCGTCCCCTGCTCTCCTTCCTCTCACAGTCTGCACGTTGTGAAAGAGTGAAATTTGGAAACCATTTTCTTTTTGCCAGCAAAGTAAAGAGCAGGCTGCCCTGTGTCCGTGAGGCAAGATTAAACACGAATGCTCTTTCTCTCTTCAGCGTCTCCCTTCCCCGGCTTCCCTGCGACAGTCCCCACTCTATTTGACCTTCCCGGAAGGCCTTGGGAGCTAGGCGGGAGGCTGGACGCCCCAAGGCCTTTGATCGCAGCTCCACTTTATTTGAATAAATCTGGCCAAGGGACCCCTCGTGGCTCCATAGGCCGCAGCCTCATCGTGGGCAGGATTTATGCAGCCACCGGCCGAAAGCAAGAAGTGGAGGGAATCGGAGGTCTCCCCAAGCGTCCCGGGTCAGGTTGCCCGGCTGACGTTGCTCCCGCAGTTCATAAACAATCTAGCCGCACAAAAGACTTCTCTGCGTTGCTTTCGAAGAACCGCCCAAAGTCTGTCTGTCCTGGGCCTGGGCCGTTTAGCAGAGGGGCGGCGGGTCTCGGCTCAATTCGCTGCGCCCGCCCCGCCCCCTCTTGCTGCAGCATCCTCCTCCCCTTCCCCCAGCCGACCCGGACTGCTCCGCGCAGTTCTCAGGAATTGGGGCCCCTATCTTGGGTGTTCCAAACACCAACTTCTGGTTCTCGACCCCCAGATTCAGAGGCTCCCATCGAGGACGAAGGCAGGCTCGAGAGAAAGTTGACGCGCTGGTAGATCCCGGTGGCCGGCGTGGAGGCAGCGGCCGGCTTGCAGGGAGGAGACACTTACTGGGATCGATGGGGGGCTTGTCTCCGCCGCTCTCATTCTCGGCATTGTTTTCGGAGAAGGCGCCTTCGCTGGGTTGTTTTTCTCTATCAACTGGAGGAGAACCACAAGCATAGTCAGTCAGGGACAAAGTGTGAGTGTCAAGCGTGGGACAGTCACCCCTTCTGGCCGACAGCGGTTCAGGTTTAATGCCATAAGGCCGGCTGGAGGGCAAGCCCGCGAAGGAGAGCGCACCGGGCGTGGGCTCCAGCCAGGAGCGCATGTACCTGCCGTCCGGCGCCGCCGCGGCCACGGGCGCCTGGGGGTGCACGTAGGGGTGGTGGTGGTGATACACGGCGGCAGGCACCGCATTGGCGCCCGCCGCGTGCACCGGGTTCCACGAGGCACCGAACACCGCCGCCTTGGATTGGAAGCTGCAAGGGCTAAAGTCGGGGTGTTCGGCCAGTGCTGCCGCCTGTCTTGGGGGTTGGCTCAGGGCCCCTGGAGCGTAGCGTCCGGCGCCCAGCTCGTCAGCAGCGTCGGCGCCCAGCAGGAAGGAGTCCACATAGTAGTTGCCGAGGGCCCCGGTGGTGGCCATCGCAGTAGCCCGCGCCTGACCGGCCCAACCCGACCCGCCGAAATTATGAAACTGCAGATTTCATGTAACAACTTGGTGGCACCAGGGGGGGGGAGTGAAGTACAGTCACCTAATAAGTTGCCGGCGCCCGCGCCCCCATTGGCCACGCGCGTCACGTGTCCGCCCGGCAGAACAATAACGCGTAAATCACTCCGCACGCTATTAATGGCCCGGTGTTTTGCAGTCATAATTTTTATAGCAAAAGCCATATGTTTTTATGCAAAGGGATCGCGCCGCTCCACAATCTGGTTTGTTTTAATTGTGGCCAACGAAGATTAAAAGATCAAATCTGGCCTTGCCTCTGTACTCTGCCTTGTCACCCCCTCTACACACACACACACACACACACACACACACACACACACACACACCAGACACACACACTTCTTAAGCGGACTATTTTATATCACAATTAATCACGCCATCAGGAAGGCGCGGGTCCCGCGTGCGAGTGCGGCCAGCAGAGCCCCTCACATAAAATTAGACAATAATTGAAGCCATAAAAAAAGCAGCCAAATCGCATTCTCACTCTACTGTATTTAAATCTATATTTATGATATTTCATAAGGAGTTATTGTTTCGGAAGCCACACAGGCTGGTGGGAAGTCAGGAACAACCAACAGATTCTTTTGCCTCACTGCGGCTCCCTGTAAAAATTTATGAGGACTTGGAAAGGTTAAATTAGACTGTTGTGTTTGGTTGGTGAGCACCCTGTAAATAATCCTTTCGGTCCTCCGAGATGCGAGTTTCCCCCCAGGCCCGCCTCAAAAAGTCAAATACAGGCTCTCTTCACCTCAGAGTGACCACCTCCCCTGCCGCGTCGCACCATCCCATGATGCCACAACCACCTAGACTGGGTTACCGGGCCTTGCTAGACCAGTACTTAGTCAGACGCTTGCACAGCACCCAAATCGTCCTTACTCCACAAGGGAAGGCTCCACAGAGAAACTGCCAAGAAGGGAACTGCCAGCTGCCTGCAAGGGTTTAAGGATCTAATTGTGTCACAAGCACCGCCTGGGCCCAGGCCCACGACTTTGAGCACAAGCGGTTCAGCGGATGATTTCTCAACCAGCAACCCGGTTCTCAGCTCCATCATCTGTAAGCCTTCTCCCCGGACCGAAGTTGGGGGAAAAACATCAGTACTAGGGGAATTTGTTTTGCTGAAGGGCAACCGAGCCTAAAAGAAGAGCATCAGCATTGGTAGTGGCCTTTCCAGGGCCCAGTACGAGCCCTTCCGGATCCTTTCCTCCTCATTTTCCCTCCCATTCCCCCCACTACCCCCTCCATTCCTTCCACTCTCTTCCCTTCTTTCTTTTCTCCTTCTCCCTCCCTCCCTTTTTCTTCCTTCCTGTCTCTAGCCTTGGTTTTCTGTGAAACAAAGCAACAGAGATCCCCAAAACTAGGCAACTAACAGCTCAAGTCCAGTGCTACAGATCCACCCGGGAGGAGCATTGGACATTGACTTTAATCTCATCCTTTGGCCAAATGGAGGATGTTGTTTCTCACCCCTTAGAATCTTTCGGGGATGAGAGAAAGTGAAAAGGCCACAGCCACTGTTGTTCATTGGGGGGGGGGGGGTGACCCTATCCCAATTCGGAACACAAAGCAACAACTCCTAGAAACTGTGTAATGAAATTCACGTGTGATTTCTGCGCCTCCCAAGAGTGTGTTTCTCATTACCTCACTTCACTATAAGCAAAACGGCTGGCCTAAGACACTTCCATCTTTCTTTTTGCCTACTTTCTCACAAAATAGCTCAAGGAAACACCTTCCAACACTCTAACACATTCCCATTCCAGGAGATAGGAATCGCCACAATATTAGGCTCTTCCAGCTAGGAAAGCTATGCCACCCCAGGAATACAAGCCTCCTTCTTTGCTTGTCGGCAGGAAGAAGAAAGTGGCCAACACCAGGAACTGGAAGTGGCTTGTCCCTGCTGCCTCAGTCCCCTCCCCCTAATATTTTCCTTTTCTTGCAAATTTTTCCAAGTCATTCTTACCCCTACACCCCCCCACACACACAGTCCAAGGTGTTCTAAATATCCGGCAGTCCTCTGAGGTGCAGATTTTCATTTAGGCGATGACCCTGGAGTATGCCTCTGCTCTAAACTGTCTGTGAGTGGCAGAGCATGCCTGTCTGCCTTTTTTTTTTTTTTTTTTTTTTTTTACCAAGAGCAGACATGGGTTGTTATTATTATTATTGTAGCTTTTAAAACACCATTAGTCTCCAAGTAGGAGAATTACAAAATAAATACCAGGCATTGAGTGTCAAGCAGCTGTTTACTGGTGGGAGAAGGGGGAGGACTCCCCAAAAGCAGATACTGTTCTTGTAAGCCCAGAGATTGGATGCTAGAGTAGCGTTTTATTCTTCCTTTCTTTTGGATGTGAAAAGGTTTGAATGCACATCTAGAAACAATAAATGGTTATAATGACAAACCACAGCATTCCCAACTGAGAATCTTCCTGAAACCTTGGCCTCTGAAATAAATCCAATACCGGGATCCAGAAAATGGCAGAGCAGAGTTGGCGGGAACCGGGAGTACTGGTATTTCAGATAACAGGTTGTTGAGCTCAGCAAGGAAAACAATTCCCAGCCTAAGCTGGGAAAGCTGGGAAGGGAAACAGAATTCTGTGGTCTCAGGCTAGAGAGTGTTCTGCAGGGGGGAAGGGATGGTTTGTTTTCAGTTTTCTGTATTGAGAGTGATTAGGGTGGCTTTCATAGATTGCGATTTAAAATCAATACTTAAGCCTGTGTCCTTTTAGTTCTTAAATGTGGCATTGTTTCTACTCATTTAAAAGGTAGTGGACTTGGGAAAGGCCTCCTTCCCAAACACCCAGCTGGATAAGGGGTGGGGGGGTGTGGGGGGGACGGGACTAGGCTAACGTTTTCTGGATCTGCTACCGCTGGCAAGACAGCAAGCAGTCAAGCCTTGGCCCCAGCGAGGCTCCTTCATCACGGTCAAAGCCCGAGTTAGGGCCGGTAAAGCTGGCAGAGCCGACCTGAAGCTTCCTGCCGGGAGCTCTTTTGGTAACCAGGCTCCAGAGAACCTAGGCCGGGCTTCCGCTCTGATTCCAGCTTCCGAACCAGTGGAACTAGCGAAGGTTTCCTTCCCTGTCCTCGGTATGGGCACACAAAGACGCCGCGGGTACCCTCTCAGCGGATCTCTCAGGCAGCTGCTAACGCAAGGCCGCCGCCATCCGGTCGTGATCGTAACCGAGGCCTTGTCTGCGCAGAGGCCCACCAGGCCAAAAACCGCGTACCCGAACAGCCTCCTTTATGCACCCCTTCCTCAGCAGACTCAAGCTCGTGCACCGAGAGAAAAATGAAAGCTTCAAAAACTTTCTCTAAGCTAGCCCTTTCCCCTCGGGAATGGCGATTTGGAAAGGAAACGAGAGACAGAGAACTGGACAGAAAGATGCAAAACACAAGAAAAAAGAAACGGAAATAAGGGAAAGAGCAACGAAAAGGAAAAAGAAAAGGATAAGAAAGAAAGAAGGAAAGAGGATGGAAATACGTGAAATACACAGCGGCGACTTGGGGAGCAGAGGGCGTGCTTGCAGGCGGAAGGGTAAGCGACAAGACCAGGCAGGATACCAGCCCCGGAAGGTCCCGACTCTCCTATCTCAGCCCTCAGCCCGGGGATCTACGGGGCGAACGAATTTTCCCTCGGTTCAAGGCGGGTTTACAGTGGTGCATCCGTGTCCCAGCCCAGTCTCGCAGGAGAAGGTAGAGCCCCAGACAGGCGCAGGTCTAGGTAGGGAGAGCTCAGACAGCGAGAGAGCGCCCCTGACCTTGAATGGCCCGGGGTCCAGAATTCTTACCACGCCCCCGGCGCCCCAGAATCAGCCCCTAACCTGACCGTACCTGCCCCGGGCCAGGTGTGGGGCGCAGAGCGTGAGGCGGGCTGGGTGGCACAGCGCAGAGGACCCGAAGCTCCTCCTGCACTGGGGATCCGAGGATGCCACCGCAGGCCTGGCACGATTAGGGCCTTGATGGCCGTCCTGGCCACCCCGCTGGTACCTGGAGACGCTTTCAACTGAAGTAATGAAGGCAGTGTCGTGCTGTCGAGAGAAAGGTGGATCCCAACAACAGGAAACTACCTAAATCACCGACCAGTTCTGTTGCTGCCGGCGCCGGGCTGCCTCGCCCGCCGCCGCCTCCGCTGCCGCCACCGTCGCCACCAAGGAAAGAGCCCTGCGCTGTGATCGTGCCCAGACCAGCCCTCCGCACCCTGCGCCAGCCACTGCTCTAAACCCGTGGTAGAGGAAAAAGCCACCGGTCCGCAGGAAGGTATGCCTAGGAGAATGAGAGAGTAAAAGGGAGAAGGGGGGAGGAGAAAAGACGAGGAAAAAGCAAAGGGGGGAGACGAGAAGAGAGGGGAGACCGAGCGGCCTGCCGAGGGTTCCCGAGATTCTACAGCTTCACGAAGCAGAACAGTACGGCAGCCTCCTCGGACGACCGGAAAGCGCAGGGGACAGCACCGAGCCCAGTCCTGTGTCTGGTCGCGGCCTCTTCGACTTGCTCCCCTGCTCCCCGCAGCCTCTCGCTCCCCCCGCATCTCCCTCCTAACCGCCCGCCCGCTGAGGCGCGCGCTCCCGCGACCCTCCCCCCCTTAGCCGCTCCCCCCCACCTCCGGCGTGCAGGAAACGCGTGGCCTAGCGGAGGGCCGCCAGGTGGGGGAGGCCCGGCAGGGGGAGGGGGTGACCCTGGACAGCTCGGCCCCGGTCCACTTAACCGCTGCCTCAGGCACCAGTGGTGCTGTGAGTGGGCTCTCCTCCGCGGATTTAGGGCGTGGTGTCTTCTGGGACCTGGACACCCGCAAAATAACTGGCCTCTGTGAGTCTCTCTGGGGCTCCCGAAAGAAATCCTGTTTAGCTTCCTCTGTCTATGCAGCTCTCCTCTCAACTGAAACCACTGGTCCAAGACAGCCACAATCCAGATATACTAGCAAGTCATAAAACTGAACAAAAGCCGACAAACCTTAAGGCACCAGGGCTATAGGGCCCAGACAAATTACGACCGTCTAGGTAATATTTAAATAGATGCCTAAAGTAATTGCAGGGGGCTCGGGCTAGCCCTCCTGTTGTAAAAGTGGTGGACAGGATAAAGTGGAAGGTGAAGATAAGAAATCAAAAAAGAGGTAAAATTAAAAAGCTTCATTCCACAGCTTTTATTCTATAAGAACATAAACATCATCTTTTTTCCACGCACAGCAGCAATACAATATTAATTTATTCTGATTTAAGATTTGAAGTAAATAAAGCTAAAACTAACATTTATAATAACGATAGAATGCATTTGCTTAAACAAGATTGGCAATTTTTCATAATAATAGACATTTATACAGATTTGTACTTATAGTTTTTTTTCTTTTTCTGCACCTACAGGTTTGACCCTTTTATGCATGTAACTTCACAGTATAAAGAAAATCCAAACAATGTCTCCCTTCTCTCATCTGCTTGCCCCAGCCCACTTAGGCTCCCATGAATTTCAGAAAGCCTACAAAACAGAACAATAACAGCAAAAGTGAATTAAAGCAAAACAAAAGTAAACAAAACAAAAAACCCAACTCCATAAGATAGGGAGAATCGTGGTGTGCTTTTCGCGTGTTACCAAATGGCAACAGTTTTAATGGCAAAAATCCACTAATTCCACATGTATAAACAAACCTGCGTTATTTATCAACAGCCAGGACATGGAAATTCAAAGGTAAATGAGGGATTTTAGTCAGGCAAGCAAGACCTTAGGCAAACGGGAAGAGAAGCCTCCTTCTCTTGGCCATTTATTATTTTTTTTAAAGCTGGGAGATCTTACACAGGAAGGAAAAAATTAATCTTTCTGATTATTTCTTTCTCATTTTTTTTTTTCAATCAGCCAGGTCAAGCCCTATTGCTAACCTGCATGTCCATGTTTCAATATTCTGCTCTCGACCAAGGAAGAAAAGAAGGAAGAAAAGAGAAATCAGGCCTTTACTCGCTGATTAAACACAGCCCAGCACTCCAGGCTGGCGAACCCGGTGGCGGCTCCTTGCACCATTGACCTCAGGCCAGACACCTCAGCGCCTACAATGGGACCTATGGCTTCCGGCTAAGTTTACCCAGGGCTGAGCAGGAAAGCAGATCCTAGTAGAAGAATTGGGGCGGTACTAGCAGTAGGAACCCCCGAGGCAGCGAACCCAGCCCAGTCAGGACTCGACATGAGGACAATCTCAATCTCTATAGAATTTTAGCGATATGGCTTTTTCCCCCAGAAAGTAAGTAAACCAACACCAAGCAAACAGACAAAGAAACAAAGTGTCAGAACAAACCAGCCCTGCACAGACGAAACGGCCTGGGAGACGGCGAGTGTGGAAGGGCGCAATGGGGCTCCGGCACAGGTGCGAGTTCTGGGACAGAGGCTGGAGGCAGAAGGAGGGGTACAGGCGCTCTGGAAGCGAAAATACGGGCGTTGCCTGCAAGTTTCATCAGGAAAAATTAAAGTTGGCTGTGAGCTCCCGGATTCGGTTTTCTCGGTTCATTTTCTTCAGTTTCATCCTGCGATTTTGAAACCAGATTTTCACTTGTCTGTCCGTGAGGTGGACGCTACGGCTGATCTCTAGGCGCCGCTCTCGAGTAAGGTACATGTTGAATAGAAACTCCTTCTCCAGTTCCAGCGTCTGGTGCTTCGTGTAAGGGCAGCGTTTCTTCCGGCCGCTCTTTGCCGTGAGCCAGTTGGCTGCATTTTCGCCTTTGGAATTGCCTGGAGTTTAAGAGAATGCAGAGGGGAAGGTTAAGTCGAGGCCACTCGGGCTGTGCGAGGGGGGTGAATTCCGGGTCTTTCCCATTAGAGGGGTGCCCGAATTCATAGAGCGAGGGTTATGCCCTCCTTTGACTTTCGGAGAACAAGAAATTCCTCCAAAAGGCATGACAAAATCGAGTGGGCCTCCAATCCACACCCGGTCCTCCCAATTTACATTTTCCCCTACTTTTTTTCCAGGCACCTGTTTTAGCACCACTCGGCGGGGCGCTTGGAGAATGAAAGGCCGGAGTAGGCAAGGCCGTACATCTTGAACTTAACGCCTTTCTCTGCCTCTCACGCAGTGGCAGGGAAGCATTTCCTGCGGCCCCCAGGCTGGGGGTAAGGGATGTTTATTTGTTTGAGAAACCAGCAGCTTCACTAAGGCTTACTCTAGCCTCCTAGATTGTCCTAGGCCAGAGGAGAAGGATATAGTTGGGCCAATAGGAAAGTCCCGAAAAGCCGATTCTGGGGTCAAGGGCTGTTCCGCCCCTGTCTCTCCAAGAAACTGGGGTGTGCAGTTGGGTGACAACGAGTTCCAGCAGAAGGGAAAAGGCCACTCCTAGGTTTTCAGTTCAGGGCCCAGGCGTCCGGGAGGGATTTGCCTTTTCTTCTTCTTGCAACAAGGATTCCCGCCCCTCCAGGAACTTTGAAAAAGGCACGGGGGATCGTAAACTCGAACTTCGCCGGTTAATGGGCTTATTTATTGGCGCTGGCGGCTGCTTATTTTGGATGCCTTACAAACATCCGTGCTATCTGCAGGCGAGCCACTTTCCCTCCCTGCCCCTCCCCCCGCGTGGGCCGCGCTGAGCTGGCTGGGCTGGAGACCAGGGCTTGGGGGTACTCAGGGCCACAAGAAAGTGCATGCACGAGAGGAGGGCTGCTCACTGGTGTCCTCATCCCCCAAGTCTGGGTGAGCTGGGGCCAGCGCTATGGACGTCTTGGTGTGGGGCCCTAAGCCCGACATGGGTTTTTACAGCGTCCCCACGCCCAAATATTAAAAAAACAAGTTCAGAAGGTCAGCCTGCCTTCAGCTTGGGCCAAGGCCTGCGGCTGCCGCGCGAGCTCCTGGTTCTCTACTCCTTCCTTGTGGGTCTGTCTGTCTGCCCGCCTGACTTGAGCCCTCGGTTGCACTCTGCTTACCCAGGGAGTCCTTCTCCGGCGAGGCTTTACTGTTTTCGGAGGGGGCCGGGGACAGCTCCTCAGCTGCCGAGGATGACGCGTGCGCCTCCTCGTCGCCCTGCGAGCCTCCGCCGCCACCGGTGCAAACCAGCGTGGGCGGCGGCGTGGAGTCGAGGGCTCGCTCCTTCCCGGCTGCCTCCGCCGAGCTCGAGGCCAGTGCCGGCGGCGGGTCGAAACCGCGCCCCGGGGGCTGCGCAGGGAAGGGACTGGCGAGCTGCTGCGTGCCGCCGCCGCCGCTGCCGCCGAAGCCCTTGGCCGTGCCGTAGGCCTGGGACAGGCGGAAGTAGCCAGGCACTGGCACTCCGCTAGAAGAGCCCAGGGTGCAGCCGTCGGGCGGCGGGCCCCGCGGGAAAGGAGCCAGGTCGGCGGCGGCCGAGCCTTTGGGGCATTTGTCCGCAGAATCGTAGAGGCAGTAGGAACTCTCTTCTTTGATGTTCTGCGCAAAAGAACACGAAGTGGCCTGTGGCGGGGGTTGGGGCGGCTGCGGCGGGGGCGGGGGCGGCTGCTGCTGCTGGGGTTGTGGCTGCGGTGGCGGCGGCCCGTCGGGCGGTTCCATCCGGCAGGAACGGGGCGCGTCCAGCCACAGGTCTAGGGGCGCGGGCGCGTAGCCATGAGCCCCGGGACCCAGACCCCCGCTGCCACCACCGCCACCACCACCACCACCACCACCACCGCCTCCAGGCGACGGCGCTTCATTGCGCTTGCTTCCCAGCGCGGGGAAAAGCCCGCAGCTTTGCAGCCCATAGGGCAGGTCGCTGGCTGGCTGCAGGTAGACCCCGCTGTGGGCGTAGTAGCCGCCTCCGCCGCCCCCCGCGCTACCGCCACCGCCACCCGCCTCGCCTCTGGCCGAGCTGATGAGAGAGTCGACCAAAAAAGAGTTCGCGGCTGGGCTCTCCGAGCATGACATTGTTGTGGGATAATTTGGCGAAGGGAGCAGATAGCCCTTTCTGGCTGACATTTCTTGTGCAAAACATGCTGAATACCATTAGCAATCCCCCCGCACCGCGGCGGGCGCCCGCAGCCAATCCCGAGCCAGAGTTTCCACGCGACCACTCCCAGTTTGGTTTCGTAGGCGCAGGGCCGCTCTCCGAGGGCGCCCTAGAAGCCCGCGATTGATATAAATATGTAATCTGTATTGATGGGCCAGAAGACGCACGCCTGACACCTATGGCCCGAAGGCCAGAACTGTGGGGGCTGCCTCAAAGTGGTGGTCAGGAGAACTGGCTCTTGAGTCTGCAAACTGCCCCCCTCCCGCAAAGAATATATTTGGAAGCGCCCTTAGGCCTTGGGCTTTTAACAAGTGGGGTGTTTATGATGTGCACCCCAGCCATCTTTGGGTGCTCCCATGTCTGTCTGCAGGAGTGGCCATGAGTCCCTGTCGTCCCTTGATCACTTAAGCAGGCCCTGTCTCTGTCTCTTCGTTCTATTCATTTCTGGAAGCTGGTCCTAGTTCTTAAATTTGGCTCCCCAAAGTGACTGGCGTGGTCCTAAGGCTGTTGAGACCCTCGGAGTGTCCAGAATCCTCAGTGAACTGGAAGCTAGCTAGTACCACTCGAACATCGTACAATGAATACTGCCGGAAATGCACTGGCTGATCACTGCCTGGCTCCTCTGTCTTCACGACTTCCCCACTCCATCCTTTGGCCAGTCAAGATTTTTCCCCTTCCCTCTGTCTGTTCATGGCTCTCTATTTCTGCCATACAACCTTGCAGAGCTGCTGTGAGGTGAAAACCAACTGTCTGGCAACCCTAGAAAAGGGCTTTCCCCCAGTCAAAGGCATACTCCCCATCACCCCCGAGGAGACCCAAACTCACTTGCTTTGGGGGACTAGAATATTAGCTTTGGGTCTCTGGTCTCTCTGTACTGGGAGAACTGGAGGTGAAACCCTGGGAGAACATGCCCAGCAAACGCCTCTACCACACGGCTTTCTCTCTTGCTTTCCTTAAAGCCTTAGCATTCCTAGCCTCCCTGAGGTTCTGAAAAACCTGTCACTACACTCTTATCTTGCTGTCCCACCCCACCACCCAAAGACGTGGCTGGAGCAGTTTTTGTTCCAGCCATTTTGTGTTACAGCGTGCACATTTTAACAAGGTGGTGATGAGGGCGATCCATTCCCTGGAAGATTAAGCTGGGTTTGGGCCCTATTATAAGAGGCTCCAGAGACCAGGAGCTTTGCTTAGCAGACACTGGGTTCTACTCAGGGGTGCTTTTTAAAGTGAGCACCTCATCTCAAGCTCAGAAACTGTGACCTTCTCCGGCAGGATCCAGTGGAGCTTGTGCAGTTAGTTGATGCTTTGCCCCTGACCTGTAACCCACAAGGTTATGAGGTCTCCAGGATGCCCTAGGCCTGCCAGCTCCAGTAGGAACAGGAGTGTTGCTGACTGCCCAGATTCCAGAAACTACATTGTTCAGGCTTCTGCAAACGGCAGAGAAAGACTCTTACATTTAGATGATCATGTTCTGGATTCTCCCAGAATGAATCCAGCCACTGGACAACAACGACCCTGTGAGGACCCTCAGAGTGAAAACACATAGACTGGGCTACCACGGTAGAGGCCAGCCTCTGGCTCCTGAGATTCCAGCGACTGGGGTTGTTTGCCGCTGCTTGGCCAGCCGCCGCCCAGGAATCAGGGCTTCTGCTAACACTAGCTAGCGAGGTATCCCTGTCCCTTCTACCTCTGTCCCCCCCAAGGTGACTGTCTGGGAGGGCTGGGTATCTAAGCATCTGAATGCAAAAGAAAGAAATGGGGAGAGAAAGAAGGAAGGAAGATGAAGAAAGAAATGAGAGAAAAGGGGAGAGAGAAAGAGAATATGAACGAACACCCATGAGCATCAGCCCGCTGCAGCTGGAAATTTCAATCTATATTAGCCACTCTGGAAACTAAAATCTGGGTCTGTGTGAAACATTAACTATCTGGTTTGCTTCTGTGCCCAAGGCCAAGGCAAATTTTCTCTTGGGTAGGCCGAGCGACCAAGAGAATCACCAGTCTGCAGAGCTCCAGAGCATTGAAGCCAATGGCCCTCCCTTAAGCTTCCAGGATGTGCTTGGTCCCTCCTCTGTTCACCAGACAGGTGGGACTTGTGTTCAGTCTGTCACCTGAAAATGCCCGGAAGCTGGGGGGCTGCCAGAAAAAGGGCACTTTGCTCTTCAGTGATTCAGATACCTCTCTGGCGAGAGATGCTATGTGGGGAAGTAGGTCTCAAGAGTGCTGAACGTTCCTTCAGAAAAAGGAGCAGCAGCAGGCCAGCAGGCTTGTGGATCAGGATTAGACCCCTCTGCTGTCCCCGTCATGTAAAAAGGAGCTTCACTGGTAGTGACTTTTAAGGGACCGGTGGCCATTGGAGAGAGTGTCTGAGATAGCAGAGGCTACAAGAATAAAAAGAAAGACGCTGACACAGATAAGGGATCTTTCTTAACCTTCCAAGGTTTCAGGGAGTCCGCTGCATACCTAAGGGTAGGTCTGAAAGAAACAAATCTGCATTCCCATGACTTGATCCATCATTTCCAAGGGGTTTTATAGACCCCCCCAAAAAAAGCTTTGTCCTTAAATTCTCCATCCAGTACTCTCATGGAACTCAGCAACCCCTGCTTATTTGTCTGGCAAAACAAGCCAGGTGCCCAGCTGCAAGCCACTCAGGCTGGTCCTAGCCAAGGCCTTGTAGGATGGCCAAATGGGCTTCTAGGTTGGATGCTATCCAGATGCCTGCTATTGCTGACCAAGGTTAAAAAGTCAACTCCAGTACTGCATGTAAATGCCTCTCTGCCAAAGGTTGGGAGAATCAGATTGTCCACTACCAGCCTCACAGACCATGGCATTGGCACTTGGGTCTTCACCAGCCTTTGTGAAAAGCAGCTATGTTGCTGGCAACAGTAACTTGCCCCCTCGTTAGAAACCAAACGGCATATTTAATTTGAGCTCTTTCTTTTCTTTGTTTAAGTGTGTGAGCCTTCATGGAAACCTCTCTCTAACTGGCCGCTCTGTCTTACTCCCACTGAGATTTGCTAAGCAAGGGAATAACAGGAGAGCCTACCGTGGGATACTGTGAGGTATCTGGCGGACTGGCCTGATATGGCTGTCGCAGAGTAAATATAATGACTCAGTTAAACGTGGAAGATGGGTTGAGTGCCTGCTCGGCTTTCTTGGTCTGGAGCCCAAGGCTCCCCTCAGCCACCCTGAAAGCTCCAGTGTCTCCCTAAACCACAACAATGAGGTGTTAGCCTCCACAATAAAAAATATTTTGTTTATTGAGCTCCTTGGCTTTCAGGAGATTCGCCATCCGCCCCCCCCCCACCAAGGGATTAAGTAGAGTGATTCCCTTTTCTTTCTTTTCGCCTCTGCCCTTCTTTTCAGCTGCTGAATTCCCTTTTCCTTCAGTAGATGCCTTTGACCTAAAACCCATGGTGCCTGCTGTCCTTAACCAGACCACTGCAGCAATCTCCCTGCTGTGGCCACCACCGCCACAGGCTGTGTTTGTTCAGGAGTAAATATTGCGGGTTTCTACCTGGAGATAAGATCCATTCTCTCCATGGGAAATGCCAGACGCATGAATCAAGAAAGTTTGAGGATTACTCTGCATTTGACTTGAAAGCCAATTCCTCTTCCTGTGTAGGCCCTTGTGAGGACCCCAAATACATTCTTATTATGAAAATAAGTTGAGTTTCTCACTAGGACAAAACGAAACAAACAACAAACAAAACAAAAAGCAAAATACCCCTAGGTCCTGAGAATGAAATATAAGTTAGTTTTTATATAGAAATCATTCTCAGTGCTCTTTTTTGGAGGGGGGGGGGCTCCAGATTATCTAGAGGGTGTAGAGCTGGATTGCAGCTTCATAGAGGAAAATTAATACAGTTTCAGCATGTCCAGCATTAACAAAATTTCAGAAATTCCCCCATTTATACATTTATGAATAACTAGATTTTTTTCTACAAGCAATAATCTTTACTTGTTCTTTAAGAGTGTTGCCTTTTTCAGGGTTGTTTAATGTGTGGGGTTTTTTCTTTTCATTTCTGGTCTACCAGGTTCAATCTATCCTTAGGTTAAATATTTTTCTTTCTTTTTTGCTAAATCCAACCCTCAAAATGGCCCTTGCCCCTTAGTGGGGGAAGTATTGGGGCCTTTTGTCAGTAGTCTTGAAGTACCAGCGTTCTTAGTTTTGTGGGTAAAGACATGGCCCTGGTCTTAAACTGGAGGCAGCTCAGGCGTGTAAGGAGAGTTGCTACCCACTGCAGTTCACAGAGTGGGGCCTCATTTCTGCTCAGAGTTGTTTTTTTTTTTTTTTTTTTTTCCTGGCACGGCTGGCTTTGGAGCCCATGCATCACAAAACTAGCGGTTCATAAGCACGATTTTTGCTCTCACACACGTGAACAGGGGCGGCACTGATTTGTTCTAAAATTCCTTTTACTCAGCCACGGCGTGGTTTATTTGGGAAAAGATAAGAAATTCCTTCAAGAAACAAATGAAAATATAATAAAATAAAAATTTAAATATGGGAAAAAGGAAGATTTAAATCTGGCCTTCAAAAATGCAAGCACTTTGGTTATTTAAAACTTGTTTTTATGAAAGCCTTGAACAAATGCCTGCTGGGTCAGACTTAATTCCCCATGCTGTATAAACAAATATGATGATATTTACTAATGTGTTTTTGTATAATTTGCAAAATGTGCAATTCAAAGTCCCTTCGTTTTAACGGCTAGGAGAATTTGTTGGAAAATGTCTGCCAGTGTTATGATGCCACATTCCAAATACGCAGTACGGGGCTTTCTCCAACATACTCAAAAGAGAGAGACAGAGACAGAGAGAGGGGGAGAGAGAGAAAGAATGAGAGAGGAATGAGAGAGAGAGAGAGAGAGAGAGAGAGAGAGAGAGAGAGAGAGAGAAAGAGAAAAAAAAAACCAAAAGAAAACAACCAAATTGGACTTCTTTGAATGGCCTTTTTGGGAACAAAGCTTATTTCTAGCCTGCTAGGCAGACTTCTAGACTGTACCTCCGAGAAAACAGGCAACCTCTGGCGGGCTGCCCCAGGGAATAAACCCGCTCCAACGGCCACAGATGTTGACCACACCGTTGTTTCCAAGGAGAAATTTTGTTTTTCTTAGTCTACCATCCCTTCCTCTCCGAAGAAACGTAATCCCAGAGCTGATTCTCTCTTTTGCCTGGGTTCCGGCCATACCTAACGCATTCAGATCTGAATATTTCAGCAAAATCGAAAGATCGCCTAGGGTGAGAAACTTGGGTGAAAGGCTGGCGCACGGAGCTAAAACAGACAACTTTTCTACTTAGGCCTCCCACCGCTTTCCAACCACAGACAGCCAAGGGGAGCGCGGGGGAGGGGGTGGCAAACGCGCATCACCCCACAAACTCAGTCATGGCCTAGAGCTTCGCTTAGCCATCGGTCACGTTCCCACTCCTCCCCACCTCTACTACAGTGAAATTGATAAACTTGTGGCCACTTACCTTGACTCATTTCTGAAATCACTGCCAAAGGGCAGCAGCTTCTCCACGCTGCGATGTGGAGAGGCCTAGTGAAGGCGCTTTGCTTTAAATTACAACCCCAATCACTTCTTGAGCGCGAGGTTCCCTATTTTTGAATACGAAGGGGAGCCGGGCAAGTGAAATAAGGTACCGTGCTGCTCTTAGTACCAGAAGCGAACAAAGGCCAAGAATCTCGCTGGGGTTCCAGGCTCCCTGGCGGCTTTGACATTGATCGGAAGTGCGCCATCTCGTGGCTGTTGCAGGTCTAGGCGAAGTTGGAGAGCCAGCCTGCAGCCCAGAAAAGGAAGCTGGCTCCCGGCAGAGAAAGAGGGAGAGAATGTGCCCAACCCGCTGCTATTGAGATCTCATTTTTACATCTAAGAAATTGCTGCAAAACCCCAGCCGGGTTTATAGCGGCGCATTCCAAATATGCAAATTGGCCGGCCCGGGACGGGTTTACGACCACATTGTCACAGCCATCGGAGGATGGGCTTTTATAGGGCTCAGAAATCAAACCCGCGCCCGCCCGCCGCCCGCCTGCAAGCAGTTCTTCTGGCTAGACTCTCTCTAGCAACTTGAGAGACTTTGGTTAATCTTTAACCATCCCAAAGGAAGTCTTTTCCTAAACTGGGCTTCCCTGCCCGCCCCCTTTGCCCCCCAGGAGGGTCCTTGTTCTTCTCAGTGTGTCTGTCTATCAACCTGGACATTCATCTAGGGGGCTTGTCCCTCTCCCCTTTCAGCTGGCTTTCTCCTGTCGCGCCAGTTAGACAAACACACAAACAAATAAATAGCAGAGTCTGAAGCCGAAGGCCTCTCTCCAAATGAGACCCTCTCTGCTGCTCTGCCTCAGCCTGGGTGGCTGTAGAGAGGGTGGGGTGGGCAACAAAAGGTTCTGTCCCTTTCAGCCGTGCCCTCAAGGTTATGGGTGATGTCCAAATTTAAGGCAGAAGTTCAAAGGCAGCAAACAAAGAGCAAGCCCGCATCTTTCTTTGCCTAAGGGAACGGAGAGGGAGCTGGAGTTGGACGGGGAAACCCTAGAGGTTTCCGGGATTCACTTCTGCCATGATACCTAGTCTCTACTGCTGAAGGGATCCACAGGGCACACTCAGAGGGGCTCAACTCAGTCCTGAGATGAGCAAGTTTAGACTGGGTCAGGCCATTGGCCATTGCAGGCCCCTAAGGCCTTCTCTAGGGCTGAAGTCAGTTGGAGGGAGCGAAGTCTCACATACTAGGCCCTGACATCTCCCATCCCTAAGATGCTGCTTTCCTTGTGGACATATAGGCCAGGCTTTCGGTTTGCTTTTGTTGTAGCTCAATCCTGATTCTACCACCTCTGCACACACCCCTCAGGGGCCTGGAAACTCGCCCCATTTACTGGTAAAGGATGCTAGCTGAGGGGAGACATTTGGCAGGAAAAGGCAAACAGGGAGAGAAATGTCACACCAGGACTAAATACCCACATTTCCATCCTCCTCATTTCCCATGTGCCCTGGTGTCCGTGTGCAGGTTAAGACATGGAGGAAATATAGGGTGGATAAGAACCGGCTGAAGGCATTCATTACAGACAGAACCACCAGGAATTTCTCAACACAGGGAGGCAGAAGAGATTCACTTGGAGAGCACCTGGCTCCCCAGAGGAAGTTCTCAGGTCTTGGGAGGCTAGCTCTAGGTATGCCAACACTTTCCAAATGTTACAATATTGTAAAAGCATAAAAAGACCATCTCCAACATCCTTCTCATTCTCTTCAGCATCCTCAAAGAAATCAACGAATTGGGGGTGGGGACTCGAGGAAGAAGAGTATTGAAATACATTAGGTTATGGTTTCTTTATTTACAAGTCTTTTGAACACCATCCCTGTATGAAGCATACATTCAAATATTTTTAGCAGTGAGCGAGTTTAACCGTGGAACACTGTAAACAGATAGAGCCTTTAAATATTTTTATTATCCCCGCCCCCCTCTACATTGCATCTTAAAATTCGCTTTGGTTCCTTCGGGGAAATATATATATAATATAATATTTATCTTTTAAAATATTTCCAAATCACTCTCCGGCTCTTAGAAGATTGCCAGAAGCTTCCAAGCTCAGTTCTGAGTCAATGAGAGCAGAGTGCAGCGTAGGAATGGGGGATCTGGGAGCAGGGAGACTTCAGCCCCTTATAGCCAAAGCCAAGGACCCACTGGCCAGGCCTGCTGCTCTGCTGCCTGACACCAACTGAATCCAAGCTTCCTAAATGTCATGGAGGCTTTGCCAAACTCTAGCATTCCACAGGCATTTCCTGCAGAGATTGAGGGACCAACAGCCAGCATGGCCTCTGGATTTCTCAATGTCTTCTACAAACTCTGGGCTTGAGTGAAGACCCATCACCACCATTGGAAGGCAGAAAAGCCAGGTGGGCTGCAGGAGGTGACCGGTAGGGGTTCAGGCCTGGGTACAAAACAATGGGTAGGCAGGAGGGATGGAAAGATATTAATATCACCTGGACAGAGTTCTCTTTCTTCCAGGACCCCCAGTTTTCTCCTTTTCACAGCCACCTTTTAGTCCAACTTTCGTTCACATTACTTTTGGAAAGCAACCCCATTCTGGACATCTAGGAACCCTCCCCTCTCCTCCTAGCCCATCCCCAAGCTGACCTAGGCCTGGAGAGCATCCAACTTCTTGACTTAGGAGTCCTGGGGGTGGGCAGGCTCTATTCAGAGGGTCCTGAAGGGGTGGCCTCCAAGGGGTTTGGCAGGGGGCCCAATCCCCAGTGACCACACCCAGCCCAAAGCTTTTGCAGGCTCTAAGAGCGAACCACCAGGGGTCCCAAACCATTCATCCTGTTGATTCACAACTCTTAGAATCCAATTATTAATAGGAAGCTTAACCATTGAGATCTGAACCAAGAGTTTTCAGGCCCCTTCCTATTGGGCTATCTCTGCAGGGGAAGCCTCCCCCCTCTCTCCTACATCACCCCCCTCTTTTTCCAAGTCACTGTGTGGCTTGACCTTGTCAAGGGCAAAATCTGCATATTATTTCACGTGTATGAAGCCCCCCTCCCAATTCCAGGAGGCTGGCGCCTTAGAGAAGTGGATTGGCCGAGTAGTATTGTAACCGGTCTCTGTTAATCTTTTTTTCCTTCATTCTTCTGTTCTGAAACCAGATTTTGACTTGACGATCGGTGAGGTTGAGCATGCGGGACAATTGCAGGCGCTTCTCTTTGTTGATGTAGACGCTGAAGAAGAACTCTCGCTCCAGCTCTCGGATCTGATACTTGGTGTAAGGGCAGCGCTTTTTGCGGGTGCGTTGGCCACCTAAGGAGGGAAAGAGGCAGGAGTGAGGAGGGAATAGGGGATGCCACTTGCCCCAGGACCCCCAGTGGAGAAGAAGGTCTGGCCACTGGGTCTGGAGGCCCAATCCAGGCCCCTTCAAAGTCTTTCCAGGCCCTTGCCTTCAGGCTGCTATTGCTGGCCAGGGACAAGCTGCAGTCGGAGCCGGCTTCAGATAAAAGCCAGCTCCCTAGATAGGCCCCCAGGGAAAGGACTCAGGCTGCCCCTTGAGCAAAAAGGAGGGCTTCCCACAGCAACAGGCGAGTTTGCGCTGGCTAAACCGCTTTGAAAGCAGGCAAGTGGGGGGTTGCGGGCTGTGCCTTGCCCCGCCAGACTAAACAAATAGCCGCCCGAGGACATTTCACCTTCAGCACCTGGGCCGCCTGTTCCAGAGGCAGTAAAGGCGTGCATCCTGGCCCCAGGCTTTCCCGGTTGCAGCCGTGATTTAGCCCTTCTTAACATCTGGGGCGGCTGCGGGGTCTTTGTCAGCCTGACTCCTGATCAAGAGCTCCTGCATCTTCCGCCAGCCTCCCAGGTCTCTCGAGGTGGGAGGCGGCAGAGGAAACCCCCTACCCCGGACCTTCACACTGCACTCACTGCTAACACACAGCCAGAAGGCCCTCAGCAGTACAGGGATGCTATTTTAGGGAGGGTAGAGGGAAGGAGGCTTCCTTAACCCTCAGGCAGGAGCCAGTTGTTCACCCCCACCTTAAAAACAACAACAAAGACAAAAAGAAAAAAACAGGTTGTTTTTGACTGATTTAATAACAACTGTGAATAACAGAACGGCGGCACGTAATTGCCACCGCGCCAAAGGAAAATGGCTTCCTTTGGACAAAAAGGCCAACTTTAGGTTAATTTGTTTCTTTTAATATATTGCTCGAGCTAAGCGGGCTACTTTATCTGTTAAATGCGCTCCTAGCGCCATCGTTAAACAGCGATGCCTTTGAATCCCAGCCGGGACTGGAGTCCCGCCGCAACACATGGCTTTTATAAAAATCTCCGGATTACCTCGCTATCAAAGGCTCCTGAAGCCCTTGTAGGGGGAATTTACAGGCGCCCACCTCCGGCTCCCCAGCCTGGAGCTGGCCTCGAGCGGGATCATGCTGTTGGGTTTGGGAGCTGAGAAGGGAAAAAAGGAAAAAGGGGAGTTGTATTTTTTTTTTTCCAAGCGTGCTTTGGCCGGTGGGTATTTCACGGCCAATTTCAGCACTCGCCACGTGATCCCTCCTTTTATAACAAAGTTTTGTTGGGGGAAACTTAAAGGCCCTTCATAAACCTTATATGCTTATAAAACAGCATATAAAAATTTAACAGCGGTGCTGCGCTAGATTCCCAACTCCCCTTTCATAAAGCGCTGGGCGCTGCCTTTATACGCACCGGAGCTGCCGGCCTTGTCCTCAGTGTGGCCGGAAGACGACTCGGGGCTGCTGCTGCTCTCGGGTCGCCGCCGCCGCTCCTTCTCCTCCGCCGCCGCCTCCCGACAGCCGCCGCCGCCGCCGTCCGAACTTGAAGTTGCCGGCGCGCCCGTGGCCGCCGCAGCCACCGCCGCAGCGGAGGTCGCAGCTGCCGCTGGGGGCCCTTTCTCGGCGCTCTTGTCCCCGGGGTAGTCGGAGGAAGCGAGGTTTTCCGGGGTGCCGTAGGCCGTCTCGAAAAACTGGTCAAAAGCCTGTGGCAGAACGCCGTTCCTGCCCACCGTGCTATAGAAATTGGACGAGACGGCGGGGGTGGGGTGGTGGTAGACGTTGGCCGAGCTCTTGGCCAGCACGTCGCCAGGCACGCCGGCCGCGCTGGGCGCCTGCAGACAGTCTCTGTGCACGAGCTCCTCCGCGGAGTAGCAGTGGGCCAGATTGCCGCGGGGGTGCCATTTAGTGGCGGGCTCAATGGCGTACTCTCTGAAGGTCACTTCGCGCACGGGTTGGACCTGGGGCAGGTTGGAGGAGTAGGAGTATGTCATTGGGCGCGAAGACGGGGTCTGGGGCAAAAAAGAAGGGAGGCTGGAGAAATCTGGACCCGAGACGTAGTAAGTACAACTTGGCAAATACATGTTAGAGGAGCAGGGACCACGCTCATCAAAATCCATCATTGGGCTACCTTGGGCTCTCCGCAGTAGCCGAGCTTAACATGATTCTCCACTGCAGCTGCCTCTTTGAAGCGGATCCGTGAAGTAGAAATTTGGAGACGTAAGCTGACGTGGAAATCTATCCCCATCCTTAGCAGGGAGGTGCTGGTCATGTGACCCGATGTTGAAATTGACAAGCTGCGAGCTAGTCCCGGCTTTTTTTTTTTAAACCCCCTCCCTTTCCTTTTTTTCCCCCTCCCCTCCCTCCCGGCTTCCTTTCTTTGTAGCCACCTCAGGGGAAGCAACAGATCGTCACTCGGTGTTCTCACCGAAAGCACGTAATCGCCGGTGTAACTCATGTTGGCTGGGGGGGCTCCCCGCGCGCAGAAAGGTTGGGGTGCGCCCCCAAGCAGCTCTCCTTTGCTCAGCTACATGGTCCTGTTCCACGGGTGCGCTGAGGGCTGCGAGAGAGCGCAACTCCCGACGCCTCCCCCCAACACCCCGGTGGGTGAGGGATGCTCTGGGCTTGGGATGGCCAGGTGAAAGCCCGGAACTGTGTGGCTCCAGGTCTGGAAGCCTGTTATCCGAAGGCTTACGTTCGCCACCTCCTTCTTCGCAGCCCCCCCTCTCACAAGCTTGCTCTGGGAACACCTCAGCCTCAGACCCTGGCTGGACCCCATTTGGGGCCAGGCTTCGCAGCCGTGGATGTGCCGGCCTCGTGGCTTGTCCGATTTGCACGGTGACTTGATTACACGCTCTCATTCATGGTCACTTCCGAAGCGCTTTAGTGCCTTCCGTCCCCAAACCGCTAACAGGCAGAGCAGCTTTCCTCCGCGGTTTGTCAATAATCTGCGCGGTCCGGAAGGGCCTTCGCCTTACCCGGGTTCCACCTACCCTGTATCTTTTGCCTACTTCCTCACCCCACACCCTGCCTTTGGAGGAACCCCCTTCTCCTCAGCTGCCTGTAAGGGTTCGGAGTGACTCCGCAGAGCCAGAGGCGCTGGGACTGCGCTTCTGCTCACCGGTCCGCAAGCTGTTCTGTCTCCTGAAGCTGACGAATCGGAAACCATGCCATTGAGGCGAACCTTGGGCTGTTTTAGAGGCGCTGACATCCGAGGAGCCTTCTCCTGGGTATGCTGCACCTTTGGGGGACCCATTGGCTGTTTGCAGCTCTTCAGAGCTGTGAGGGGAAATGGAGGGTGGCAAAGAGGGAGTAATGGCCCAAGGTTCCCTGGCTAAGAGAGGACTAACCCGCCTCTTCTTCCTTGCAAAGCCTAAGAGTGAAAGCAAAGACTATTCAAAGAGAAAAACACCCAGACAGCTCTCATCCTTCTTGCTGTGTAGTCCATAGGAGAAGCACGATGCCAAAGAAAAGAGAGGTGTTCTCCTAGCTGCCTGCACCTTGGGCCACAGAGATGTCTTGAAAAAGCTAAGCTTGATGTCCAGAGAGATAATGCTCAAGAAGCCATAACTACTAGGATAAACTTAGCTCTCTTCAGAGGAGGAAACGGAGATTAAGAAGACAAAATAATGCTTGCCATTCTGCAAGACTGGAGAAGTGTTTGGGGAAAATGAAAGAAAAGAGAGGGCATGGGGCAGCTAGGCATGGTCAAAGCAGGGAGGGGACCCAGAACTGGGGGCTCCCCACAGCTCCCTTAGAAGGAGCTAGGGTGTCACAAAAAGTCAAAAGTGAAAACCTTTCTCCCTTTCCTCATCCAGGAAATAGCCAAAGGTATTTACATATCTTGGGGGAGATTTAGAGTATAACCGCTAAGATCTTTGGTATTTAAATGTCAACATCGATTTATTTATTTATTGCTGAGCTGACTGTAACTGACTCAATAACAAATTTAATCATGTATTGCTCTGGAAAAGAACTATTCTCATTATGTATTTTCTCCAAATAATGACCCACCATTGCATTTGAATGCCCACTGTAAATATCAATAATATCAAGTAATTACTGTGTAGTGGAGTAAACTAATTTATTAGCATTAATGTTTATGTGGCTCTATGCCCCCACCTTTTTTTTTTTTTACAAGGTTTGCTTATCACAAATCAAGCACCTTGGACACATTGGTTTAATGAACTCTTTATTCAGGATTTGTTGCAGGAACTTTCATGCCCCTTGAATCCCTGAGAGCTGAACTTGAAATTATTTGTGCATCTTCAGCTTGACATATTTGTCCACTGTGGCTTCCTAGCCGACTGCAGTGGTGGGAGCAAGGAGATCTGGAAGAGCAGGGAGAAAAGAGTTGGGGAAGGCTAGCTTTAGGGGACCGAAACTACAGGATGGTCCTGCAGCAAACAAACAAACAAACAAACAAACAAAAATTCTATTTCCTGCAGTCGCCAAGGAGGCAAAATATTTATCTTTTCACAATATCTTTTTGGAGGCTACATAAAAAAGGGAGGTGAGCTTGTGAGCAGCAGTATCTGAGCAGTTCCCTGGGTTGATTTTTGCTAACCTCAAACTTTTGCCCAGCAGCCCACCCAGTCCTCACCACCCCTACCCTTGAACAAAAGGAATGCGTGAAGGGTTTCAGTGACTTTGCCATAACAAAGGCGCCACCATTGCAGGGCTCGCCCCGCCCCTGGGTGAAGGCAAACAAATTCTTGCACTTGTATTAGGGCTTTTAAGACCATAATTGAACCCGGGGGCGTCTAGGAGAACCGAAAGCAGTTCTAGACAGACCTGCGGTTTTTATAGCAGTTTTGGCAGTCAACTTCAGCTTGTGCCTGAGCCGTGGGGCCCGAGGTGGCCCAGCCACGGGGGGATGCAAGGCCGCCTCCCCTGGCTACATGGCAGCTTCTCTCATAATTAGCTCGACTTCTCCAGATGCCAGGGAGAAGGGGTGCCTGCAAAAAGGTCGGTGTGACACTGTGCAGGTTCGCATCGAGGCAGGGCTAGCTAGTTGTGAACGAGAGCCGGCAGGTAGGTATCCCATGGGTGTTTCCTGGAGACACGGCAAATTCTTCAGGAAAGGCTGTGGGCGAAGAAGGTGCTCCACGAAGGTGATTGTCAGAGCAATTAGACAGACAGTAGAGAAGAGGGGTGCCCCGGAGGGACTTGCATCCTCGAAGGGAGCGTGTGGGGGCGCTGCGGTGAAGATGGATGAAAAAAAAAAAAGGCTTTTGAAGGCAACCGAAGGGAGATGGCCTGGAGCTCTGGAGCTGCCGATTGCTGTTTAGTTCTATAAGCAGAGACAAGAGCTGGGATGCTCAGACCCCCAAGGCTGCTCAATAGAAGCCGCTTCGCCTGGCCCTGACCTGCTTGAACCTGGTAGAGTGAGTATTCTTTAGGCAGGCTTCAGAAACAAGGCCGGAGGCTGCTCTGAGGTTCCGACCCAATCTGGGGAAAGAAAGGGAGGTGGTTCTGAGGGTCCTTGGTTTTCACTTAGCTCTGAGCCTAACTGACTCTTCGGCTTTGCAGGAGGCCGAAGGTCGATCTTAGCCCACCAGGCTCTGGGAAAGACCGGGCTAGGGATAAGACCACACCGGAAGGCCAAGTCCGAGTTCCATTCCTAGAAGAGGCGGCTGCCGGCAAGGCTATGACATTGGCCCTGGACATTGGTTTCCCAGGAGCTGTTCTTTCTCAAGAACTGCACAGCGAGCGGGCCGTCTCCAGAAAACACTCCTCAACGTTTATTTCCTTTAATCGTCAACCCGGAGCCCTACGGCGGCTAATGCAAGAGGCCAAAAATGTTTGGAGGAAGAAAAACAAAGGCAGGAAGTGGCCGCGGCCTGACGGTGCGTGTGTCTGTAGAGAAGGGAGGGAACCGGTTCAATCTCCTCTTGTTCCCCCCCCCCCCGAACTTCAAGGTCTAGGCAGACCCCCTTAGCGCTTGGCCAAGGCTCTCGGTCCAGAGATTGGAGGTGGCCAACAAGTTAGCCTTGTCGAACTGAAAGGCTAAGAAGGAAACTTAATCAGCAAAACACACCAAGCCTTTTGGAGGTTTCTTCTGATTTTGTCCCAAAAGGGTGGGGGTTGTATCGGTGTCCACAAAGTCTGCTGTTTTAACCGCACCATGAAGGGAGGGAGGTTCAGGCACCATTCGCTCCACCCTCCTTCTCGAGGTAGAATACCAGAATAAAGTGTGTCCAGGTGCCTCGGCTGAGTCTGCTTTTTCTTGCACTTGGAGATGTACGGGGCAGTAGTAGAGCAGCGCTACAGGAAGCTGCCTAGGCTTCATTTTGTAGAAAGGCCATGTAAGGCCTTGTCATCATGGGGTGGCTGTGCCTGGGGTGCTTCCAGTACAGTCATTCAAGAGATTAGAGCTGCAAGCACTGTCCCTTGATAGACTACATAGTACTGTGCCACTTCGAGGGAGAACAGAAGTGGACAACAGGAGTGCACTCCTAGACTCTGGGCTTCCTAGAGTCAACCTGAAAGGCTGTAAGGTTACTGCCTTCCCTGGCTGTAGAGCTTGGGAGGCAGCAGTTGCCAGATATCCCTAACTCAGGGGATCTGAAACCCCCATGGCAGTCCTTGGAAGGCTGAGCATGGTATCCATTATTTAAATGTTCAACCAAGCTACCCCCACTCTCCAGTCCCCCCTCAAGCCTTTCTTGTCCCCAGGCAGTTCCTGCTGGTCTGTTTGCCTCTTCTCAGCTAGCCTTCCTCAGGCATTCTCCTGCCCTTTCTGTTGTCTCCCCTTGCTTGAGTAAGGGCTGAGGTGTTGAAGTGCCCCCCCCAGAAGGAACCTACAAGGCAGGTTTAGAGAAAGGGGTCTATTAAGTTTCTGACTTTCCTCATTTTAACCTCCCACAGAGAGAGACCTGACATGAATTTCTTTTCCTCATTCAATGAGTACTAATTCCAAGCACAACCTCCTCCCTTCTTTCTTCCCTCAGGAACCCTTGCTCCTTTTCTGAGCCCATCTCCTTCTTTATTCTGAGTAATTACAGGAGCCCGGGATGAGGTGGACCCACTAAAACGATCAGGTCTTGCTCTCAGTTTTCTACAGTTGCTGTTCAGTGGATTGATTAAAACACCATAAATATTTCACCCTTTGTTGCTTGCATGAGCCTTGCTTTCCTCTGTTTCAAAATATTGCATTGTGTTTATAAAGCTAAACTGAAAACCAGTGCTGATCTGGTGGCCATCTTTTCCATGGGTGTGAGAGTTGGCCAATGAGGGGATTTGGTCAAATGGCCACAAACACCAGTGACTGGAGCCAGACCTCCACATAGGTACCCTCTCCTACATAGAAGGAGGTTGTCTTTGGTGTATTTTCCCCCATGGTGAACTAAGGAGATAAATTGCATGGTATGGCCCAAAGATCTTCAAGTATGTGTTCCCAAAGCAAGAGAATAGGTCACATCTTGAACTTGACCTCACGGTTGGTTCTTTGCCTGACTAGTGGGTCCAGTCACTATCCAGTGTCCCTAAACATCTGAACAAGTCCACATCCTTCTTCTGGCCACTGGAGGGTGTACCACAGAGCTCAGTCGAGGGGCTCAATCGCCCAAACAATCTGGTTATCGTTTAGTTTAGCTGAGGGGAGAAGGGAGGGTTCACTTGAGAACTATTTTTATTTTCATGGTTGCCAACTCATTAGAGATTTTATTTATTCTTTCCTATAGAGTGGGAGCGAGTGGGGTGAGGAAGACTTTGAAGGGTGAAGGTCTGGTTCTCAATATCCACCTCCTATTCACCCCCCTTCCTCGCAGCAGCAGTTCGGCCCAAACGGGGGTTTCCTCAGCTGAGTGTGTCTGCAGTAAAGACAGAGGAGTGTAATGCAACCAGAAGGCTGGCCCTGGTCCTCCGGGTGGGGATGCGGAGGCATCCCGGGGCCCTAAATTACAGTTGTCTCCTAGAATGGCTCCACTTCCACTGGTTACTTTTGAAACCCAAGAGCAGCCTCTGTCTGCGTGGAGGCCCGCACTAGGAGCCCTGTACTGGGAGCCTCCTCCTTTCACCCTGCCTGGTAGCCCCTCTTCCCTGGTACCTATTCCATGCTACTCACCCTGATGTAGCTCCTTGCCACAGCTCTGTTTTGAAAAAGGAAAAAGATGCTTTGCAGGTCTCTTTTGGTTCTCTTTGGGGGATAGGCTGAGTGGCCAACTAGTCTTAAGCTATGTGTTTACTGCTGGGCCAGACGGGCTGACCTGCTGCAGGCTTTCGTAGAGGAATTCTCTGTCCTGTAGAGCACCATGGGGCGGGGAGGGGGTGGCGGGAGGGGCAGGAGTCAAAGGGTTTTGCATTGGCATAGTCTACCTCCTTTCAAGTAGACTTAGGCAGAAAAGACATTAAGGGTCTCACCAAAGACCTCAAAAACCCTGAGTTTGGACTGGACGAACCCAGCAGTATCTTTATTTCCATATCGGATTCCCAGCCGCCAGGCCGGCCGAGCCACTCACTGTTCCTATTCGACCAGAACTTCCACTCAGCCCGGTCCGTTCTCCTGGGCGCGTATATCCTTGCTCTCGCCCTGGTTAGGCCTCCGCCAACACGGAAATCACCCGCACTGGGGCAATTTCTGCCCTTCCAGGATGAAGGCATAGCTTGGACTATCCCCAGCTTCAAAGACCCCTTTCAAAGGAGGATGGGAATAAAGGGAATTGAAAATTAAAAAGAATTTTGCCTCAGTGCTAGAGCTCAGGCTACCCGGGTCAGGATCCGCCTGCAGCAAGAATGATGGCCTGGCCAATTACCTATCCCGTGCTTTTCTGTAATCGTGGCGGGCTTCTTTCTCAGGCGGCCCTGACCGTGAAGAAGGCGGTGGCGCCGAGGACTTGACCTTTACGGTGTGAAAAGCTGTAAGGAGCGGGAGGAGGACTCCGCGCTGTCTCCAGCTTCTGCCACCCAATAACAGCCCAGACAATCCACTCAGGCCAGACCGCTCACCCCCATTCCCCCTTGCATTTCGAAAGTGCTGGACCACAGGCTCGCGGCCAGGAAACAAAGCCCCAAGCGCGGCTTTCACCACCTACCTAACCCCGAGGGCAGAAGTCAGCGCTAAAGCTGGCTTCCCAAGGCCCTCACCTCTCGCAGGTCCCCAGCCGCCCCCGTCCAGCACCGGGGTGTCAGACAGTGCCAGCCAGGCCCGGACGTGCTGAGCTCCGGTGCGCCCCGGTCCTGTCTTCAGGCTTTAGGCGGCAGATGCTCGGGGAACCGCGCGGCCCGAGGCTGCTTCCCGGCCCAGGTGGAGCTCGCGCGCGCGGCTTCCCGGGGTTCCTCCCGCACTCAGCTCCGGACTTCCAGGACGGAAGTGCCGGAGGACGGCAAACACGATTTCTTTTCAGCCCGTCTGAAAACCCCTTTTCGAGAAAATGCTCCTGTCAAGTTTTATTTCCCGTTGCAAAACCACCTTCCACGCTGCCAAGAATTAAGACCAGGAGAGATTAAATACCCGATTATTCTCCAGGGGACGGAGGGGCGGGGCGGAGAAGGGGGCACCCTCACAAAACCTCGGTCGCCTGTCCTCGTCCTCAGCAAATTGCTCCAGGAGCCAGGCGAGGCCTGCGAGGCCTGTGGTGACGTCAGCCTGCAACTCGGGGTGGCTCATCGCGTGTGTCCTCGGCCCTCCTGTGTCCACGCGGCGCGGGCTGCTAGTTAGTCCCACCACGGTGACCTCCGCCGCGGTGCCGTGGCTCTTCTGCCTGCCGCCCACAGGCCGTCGGAGCCGGGTGGGCTCTGGCAAGGTTCGGGCCTCCATCTTGAGCAGGGTGTCCTGTGCCAGGGCAGGAGGTTTGGGGTAGCGCCTGTCCCCAACAGGCGCGCCACTCGGCAGCCATCTAAGTCCACGGACCCTCTGCTCTCACTCGCCCACACCCTTGCACCTGGGCAGGCTCCGCGCCTCCCGACGGCTCACAGAAATGATCTTAGACACCGGTGGAATTCCTTCTGCCGGGTGGATTCAGCTCTGCCGCAGAGCCGGAGGGAAACGAGATCGACTGTGGCAAGGCCGTGGCTGCTTTCACGCTGGAATTTTTCTGCGCAAGCATCACCTTTCTTTTATAAAAAACATTGTAAATAGCAGGCACATCTCAGGCATCCGTCAGCTCTAGGTAGATGCGTGAGAACTGAGTAGTAATTTTCATAACGAACGAAGCCAGATTTTATTTACCCGGCGGCCAGGCAGATGAAACTTAATTAGCGTGCCTGTCTAAAACCCAGGCAGGCATAAATCTCGCCAGGCCTTTTGGATAAGGCCGCATCTTTTGCTTATGAAAAATGGGATGCGGGCACTCGCGGCACATTTCTCTGATTCTCCAGGTCTTGGGCTGCTGACACGCATTCGATCAAGTTTAAAGGAATGCGCATAAATCAGCAATCCCCTAGCGACTCTTCAGTCGAGGTTCACAAGCCCAGAAGGGCGCCTCTGAACCCCCATCAGGGGATTAGTAGTCCTGGACAACCTTCCCCACAGCTCCTGGCCCCGGGAATCCACAGAGAGGACTCCAGCATCTTCACCCACGCAAAGACGCAGCATCGAACCGTCTGTACTAGCTACTATCTGGCTATTGCTCGCACACAAACAGCATCCTGGGCTGAATTTTGCTGCCTTCGGGTGAATCTCTAACAAAACATTTAAACTAAGCTGACTATCTTCAAATGAACATTCTCCCCCTTTGTCTCTGAGTTCCTTTGTGTTTAAAATCTTACGTTAATTTAAAAAAGGAATTGGCTTCAGCTCGGCATTAGGCATAAATACTTAGTGAAGTCCACAGTGACGTTTTACAATCGTCCACTTAAAGTTACTTAATAAATCTGACAGTATTAGGAGCAGATGGAAAAGGTCGTTTTTTTCAAGTCCCATATTTATAATTTTTTATTCAGGAAGTTTCCTTTTTGAAAAAAAAACTTGAATGAGGTTTTCAACATCATCATTCATGGATCAGTGTCTGCCATTATTGTTCCTATTGTCTTCAGAAGGAGGCCAATGTTCTCCTGGCTGCCTTTGACCTAAAGGGTTTAGGCTGCTTGCTATTGAAAAACTGAGAAGTCTCCAGGCAGGCATGGTAGTGGGACTTCTTTAATCCCAGTATTTGGGAGAAAGAGGCAGGTGAATTTCTGAGTTCCAGGCCAGTCTGGTCTACAGAGTGAGTTCATGAACAGAGAAACCCCGTGCCTCAAAACAAAACAAAACAAAACAAAAACAAAATGATAATATTTTTTAAAAAAAAACTTTGAGAAGCCATTATAATCCATAACCGCCTCAACTAGTCTGATAAATCCACGCCTATTTTAAATGAGAAGGGTGTTAGGTGAGAACACTGCATCAGCAGCCAGTTCAGAACTAAAGGGGGGGGCACCCTGACATCTTCTGGGGAGAGGGAGAGAGAGAGAGAGAGAGAGAGAGAGAGAGAGAGAGAGAGAGAGAGAGAGAGAGATACTTTACCCCAGGCTCCTGCAGTAGTACCGGCTTTCAAAAGGGGCAGTATTTCCATCTGCAGAGCTGCTGTTGGCCTCTTTCCTAGGCCCCGTAGGCTCAGAATATTTCTTACATCTAAAGAAAAATGTCTCCCTTCAACAGAAGAGTCCCCGTCGGAGCAGTTCATAAACAGTGTTTGATCCAACTCGGAGGGGAATTTCCAACACTTTAAACATTTTGGAGACATCGTTAACTTTGCTTGATGGTAGGTTCACTTGGAAACGGGACTGTAACACAAGGTGCAGGGCGGTGGGGTCTGAAGCTGTGTTTTCATTCGGTTCCACCAACGGTTGACAATCCTCAGGGCAGCAAACTATGCTGGCACTTAACAAGACCATCTGAGCTGTATGTTTCGGGAGCATCCTTTGTTGAAACAGCTTTATATTCTTTCCACAATTCCTCATCTATAAAGATATAAAGAAGCTCTCAGTCTTCGGGCGAGGCTGGAGATGTTTCCATCATCTGGGATTGTAACTGGCCCATATCATTTTCCACCAAATGAGGAATCCAGTTCTCCCATGCGCTATTCGTTTCCTCTAACATAAAGATAAAATGAACCTGCACCTGAAAATCCAGATCCCAAAGCTCCAGGTTCCACTGACATCTTAATACATGTGTGCACAGAATGGACTTCACACACACACAAGCGCACACGCGCGCACACACACACACACAGAGACACACATCCCTATGTGTATATTAAATACATAAACATGAAATGTATTATTTATGACTCTGAACACATCTCTTGTGTTGTTAGCGGGTCGGGTCAATAGCAGTAGCTATAATACTGATTGTTAATATAGTTTTGATGGTGGCTGTTAATATTAAGTATATTTATGTCTCCCACAAATCACATGGTAGATTTGCAAGCATGAATATAAGATTGCACACCACCCTGGAGCAACGCCCAGCCTCGAGCGGTGGAGGATAATTTTCCTTGTGCACCCATATTCTGAGCACATTTTGAGATATTTAAGTTCTACTGACTTCTCAGAGAGGCGGGTTTCTTTGAATTTCTGAAATGTAACTCTAGAGCTATAGAGTTGGGAAGGTATGTGGACTTTTTATTTGCCGTAAAGATTCCCAGATAGTTCTAATTAAGGTCACAGACCACCTTGGAGGGCGAGGGCCAGGAAAGCACGGTTATTTAAGAACACCTCTTGCACTGTAACAGACATGGACAGCTTTCAAACAGATCCGCAGAAATCTGATGCAAAGCAAGCCGCTACGAGGACGAATTAAAGTTGACCATTAAAGAGAGGAAGCAAGCTCTCACCACATAAAGAGCATTTTGTACCTTAACTCTAGAATTCACCTTAAATTACAGTGTCTTCAGTCATTAGCAGTTAAAAATTCTCTATCTGTACAAATTCTACAATCATATACACAGGCACACAAACACTGATATCCAAATGTATACATGTATAAACATATATTATATATTGACATATTTACAAGCACATGTATCATTTACATATATTCAAATCTCCCTTTAGAGCAAAAAAAAAATTATGAGTATCCAATCTCTAAAACAAGTCAGGGGGGTAAGAGAGCTTGATTCCCTTGAAGCAGAATTACAAGGAGGCTTGTCAACACTAGGTGGCGCCCTTGATCTACAGATCTGACCGAAGCCGACTCAGGAGCTGTCAAAAGTCAAGGTCACAAATTGTCTTTTTTCCTCAAGGTCAAGGTTTAAGGCCTTTCCTACTCCTGTCATTTCAGCAAATACCCAAACCTGTCCTTTCAGTCACATGCAGACCCAAGACAGATTTGAAAATACGACAGTCTAGGCACTACTCAACAACTGGTTTTCCTTTTCCAGGGGAGCCTGGGAACGGACACTCTCTCCCTCCTCCTTTCTTTCCTCTGCCTTTCAGAATACCTGACACTTGCATCTCCCCAGAACATTTTCATTTGTAGAATTTTAATTATGCGAGATCTTTCCCTTCTCATAAAAAATTATAAAAACCTGACTAAGAATAGAAAAGAACGGTCTTTGGCTTGTATAAGACAAACCTGCTCCTTCTCTTCTTGTGCAGTGTAAGTTCAGCATAGAAAAGTAACTCAGTGTTTCCTTCAGATTTTAATGGCAGCGATTATTTTATTAACAGAATTAATACCACTATCTACAGATCTAATTTTTCATTTTTAGTAGAAGTATTTAGAAAGCAGGTGCACAAATACATTTTCACAGTGTGCTGAACGTCTTTATTTACAAGATAGCATTTCTAGTGAATATGGACAAAACGAATGTGTGAACTGAAATTACTGCTTGATTAAAAATGTGCTGTGAAGATGAATCCCTAGACTTTCTAATGCGGTCTCATAACACGATAAACAAGGAAAAATACTAATCCTTTAGCAGATTAAAATACAGAGTGTAGACATTTAAATATTTTGAGAGAGCGGGTTTCCAATGTGAGCTTTCTTTTTTTCAAAGTTAAAAAAAGAAAAATAATGTCTTTAGCAAAATGTTTAACAAGTATTGAGAAATGCAAATTTAAATAAGTTTAAAAAAAGAGAGTATATTTCAGGAGAAATTTATATTAAAATGGGACCTTCCGGGAGATGGGGCGTAAAGTGAATCTTTCGAATCATCTGGTGTGTTCTAAACATTTTAAAAAATACAACAGATTCTATGGGAAGATCTCTGACACTGGGTTAGTCCAAATGCCACCAACATGCTTGCTGTAAGTAATTGAAAGGTATTTCCCGAAGTTCATCACCCACCCAGAGTTCTCTTGCAGCCTCAAGGGTTTAGCTGGCTGCATTTACTACCAAGACAATCAATCCTAGGATGAGCCTTCTCTCTCCTTTCTCCCTTTTAAGCAATAGTTCAAGATCAACATTTCAGTTCTTTCCCCTCTAAGCCTATCCATGAGACATTTCTTTTGGAAAGTATTTGGGTAGGAATTTCAGTAAGGTTTTACCTGAGCAGGCACTTAACACGCAAAGGGGATGATGCTGGACAAGCGGATGTTGAAACAGACTTTTGTTTCTGTAACCAGTTTTCAGATTATTACCACCTAACACAGTATCCTAAAATATAATGGTCACATAAATACTTACAAGATTTGAGTAAATTCGTAATTTATCTGAAATTGTGTGTTTTAGGGGCTGAGGAGTTGACTCTAGAGCCTGCAGGGGTTGTTGGGAGAACTGGCAGTCTCTACCATTTCTCAAGGTTTTTGTTTTTGTTTTTCAAACTGTAGATTCCATTGGCGAGAAAAAGATTCCCCTTAGGAGAGCAAAACGTCAGTGTCTCTCTTTCCAATTCTTCTGTTATTATTAAGCCTTATTATTATCTGGGCAAAGAAGTGAGTAGTCCTTAGGCGTTTCTTCAAGCTGCCCTCCGCTCCAGTTTTAATCCGTTAACTAGTGGTCTTCAACTTATTGATGACTTTTTTCTCTTTGACCCTCCTGTTCTGGAACCAGATTGTGACCTGCCTCTCAGAAAGGTTCGTCGTGGCTGATATCCTCCTCCGTTTGTCCTTGGTAATGAATTTGTTGGTAGCGTATTCCCGTTCGAGTTCTTTCAACTGCACCTTAGTGTAAGGCACCCGCTTCTTCCTCCCCCTCCTGTAGGAGCTGGCATCTGAAGGATGGGAGACGACGTCTATAAGATAAGAGAGAAGGCAAGTTACACTGGGAGCCGACCAGAGCCAGGACACAGGCGACAGCTCAGTCTGAGCTCCCGGCCCTACTTGCAATGCCTGGTTGCTCTTTGCCACGCGCTCTGCACAATCCGGCCTTCTGCCAAAGCCTGGAGCGTTAGGAGGTGGCATGGTTAGTTGTGTATTGAAATGGAATCGCCCGGAGTTCCAATGACCACCCCAATCGGGTTACCCTTCATGTACTGCGCTCGGTCGCCTGACCCAGCGGTGCACACCTTAGCCCTCAACAGGGCACAACACTTCTGTAGAGCCTGGCTCTCAACTTGCCCCAAGTTTAAACATTTTAAGCTTCTTCAACGAAGCCATTTTTCAGAGAACCATCAGGGGCAATGTGGTGAGTTCGAGATCAAGTCAATTTCTCATCTTGGAGTCAGTGTCAAGGGCTTGGGAGGGTGGGGCACACAGGGAGAATGGGGCTGCCCGAGTTGGAACCCACAAGCTCCCTCCCAGTCACCCCTCACCGAAGGAGGGCCAGGGGCCAGCTCAACTTAGGATAGGGCGGACAGCGCCAGCCAGCCTGGCTCAGACTCCCAGGGGTTCAAAAAATTGTTAGGACAGGCCAGGCCAGGGAGAGTGCAGGGGGGACACCCGAGTGACCCCGGGGCGCGAGCCCAGGAGAAGCAGGAGAAGAGCCAGAAGGCCGGGGCTGGAAAGGGGGCGCCATTTACCGGGTAGAGTGGACTTCCAGAGGTGGGGAGGCTGCGTCTGTTCTTTGGGGCAGTACATTTGGCCGTTCCAGCCGTTGGGCAGCGCCCAGGGCTGGTAGCTTTCCATGGGAAGCCCCAGGGGTTCGTGGCGCGACTCGCCAGGGCCCCCGAGCCCCGGGACCACCGGCATATCCAGGTAGCCGGGCACCGGTTGGTGGTGGTGATAAGGCCCGGTTGCGTAGCCCTGGTGGTAGAAGGCAAACTCCTTGGCGCGGGAGCTGAACTCCTCGGCCGCCGGGCCCGCGGTGTCCATGTACTTGTCGGCGAAGGCGGCGGCGGCCGAGGCGGGCTGCGCGCACGATTTGATGGCGTTGGGGTGCGGGCCCATGCGGGCGCACGGGTAGTAGCCGCTGCCGAAGTAGCCATAGGGCAGAGCCGCGGGCCCCGACGAGCTTTGTGCCGCCGCCGAGCAGGGACTGCATTGCTTAGCGGCCTCGGCACCCGCTGGTCCCGCAGGCCCGGGCCCTCCCGACGACGACGCGGCGGCTGCAGCGGCGGCGGCGGCAGCGGCGGCAGCAGCGGCGGCGGCGGCGGACGGGGGCGCCTCCCCCGGCGCGCTGCTGTAGGCGGCCGCGGCGCCTGGCGCCAGGGGTGCGGGATGCGCCATCAGGTTGCGGCACTGGTTGGCCGCGGCGGCAGCGGCGGCGGCGGCTGCTGCGGCTACCGAGAAGTTGCCCCCCGCGGCCGCTGCAGCCGGGTGGGGGAAGCCCCCGCCCCCAGCTCCCGCCGCCGCCGCCGCTGCAGCCGCCGCTGCCGCTGCCGCCGCCCCTTCCATGTTCTTGTTGAGCTCGTCGGCCACCAGGCCGCCGCCGTTGTCGTAGAGAAACATGACGGTGGGCTCGATCCAGCGGGGGTGGAGGAGCACGGAGGCTGTCATAGCCCGAGCCGCATGGAGAAGACCCCAGTGGCGCTGTTTTAAAAAGCCCCCAAGAAGTGAAGAGCGCGCCGCGCGGGGCCGGGGCCCGAGCGAGGGGGGCGGGTCGCGCCCTGCGGGGTCGCGCCAGGCGGCCGCCCATTGGCCCGCCCCCGGCCCGCCCCCGGCGTATGCAAAGCGGGCGGCTCCAGCTCGGCTGGGCGCTGGGCCCGCCAACCCCGCCGCCGCCCGCACGGTCCTCCGCGCCAGCGCCCGCCGCGCGGCCGCGCAGCAGTCACCCACAGAGGAGGCGGGGGACTCGGGAGGGTGGAGTGGGGAACACAGGGCGCGCGCCTTGCGGACTCCGATCTCTTCCCAAGTCTCGCTGGGGACCAGGGCGTCGCGCCCTGGGAGGCTGGGGACGTGGGCACCCTCAGTCGGGATGCGACCTGAGGTCGTGGGGACAAGTCAGGTAAATTCTCCTGTAGCCAGGAGAGATTAGCTTGAACTGGCACAACATGGCCCGGGGTGTCTGGGGGGCCTCTGGAGCTGTTTTCTTTCCAGGTATGGATATGTCTTTCTGCAGCTAGACCCTACCAGGGATGTCGGAGCTTTCGCCTACGACACGTCGAGATTTGGCTCCCCCCACCCCTAGGGAACGAGGGCAGGGCGTTTGTTTCCTGTCAGTTCCTAGGAGAAGTCTGGCGCAAGGGTCTCAGGACATTCCGCCGGGAAACTTAGGCTTCATTTTAGGAGCTCTCTTCCCTTTTCTCAGGCCCTGAAGGACAATTTGAATTAGGCCACAGACTCAGAATATTGGAACAACCAATTGTATCTCCATACTTCCCTCACACACACAGCAACACACACACAGACACACACAGATGCACACAGCCACATTCTCCCACTTGTATATACAATTCACTATTAGTTCCGACTCCGCAACTGCTCTCTCTGGTCTGCAGAGAATTTCAGATGAAGAAAGTACCCTTCATGCATGCTTCTGTCTCCTGCCTTTTCCTGAAGGGGTTTGAGAGGAACAGGCCCCAATTGGACTGCTGGCTGGGACTCCAACCCCAGTTCTGGGCTTCCTACAAAGCCATTTCATAGATCCTGAGTTGGACACGATTCTCCAGACATCTGGGAACACACTGTTGCATTCCATTTTGGAAGAAGAGAAGGGGGATCTTCCGTGTCATTTCATGCCTTTCCTCCCAGTAAGTGCTCAGCAGCCTGTGGAGGGTGCGTGGTTCTGAAGAACCAGAGTCTCCATGTCTCTGAGAGCCTGGTGGATGTTTGTACTGAAAGAGCCTCATGAGTCTCAATGTTATGGTGAGGGATTCTGGGGACCCTGCCTCCTTAGGATCATATCCACTTCTGATTGTGCAACTGTAAACTGGTCAGAAGTCCAGAGGGTAACAAACGATCAAAGTGAAAGTGGGTGCATTCTGGAATATACAAGCTGGGAACAGTTCTGAACTCTTTGGTCTCAGGCGCCCTGGTAGGCAGCCAGGCTTGGACCTGTCTTCTGGTCCCAGCTTGTAGACTTATCCCTAAGCTAGGACACCACGCATATCACCCAATTCATCTGCTGTTCTCTAAGCCCCCTGGGCTTCTGGCAAGGTTGGGACCCATAAGGCTAGGCTCAGGCTTTTATCTGCCCAGATTCTGGGTTTGTTCTGACTAATGTTAAGTGTCGCCCAATAAAACCTTCCCTGATCCCCACACCCAATTCTCCTCCACACCCCATGCATCCGTCTTTTCCCTCCTGACATTTTAGCAGTCCTGGGTAAATATTGATTTGGCCCCAGCTTACCTTCTCACTGACTGGCCATTTGCAGACTGAGAAACCGAGCTCTGGGAAGACTTGATTTTTGTGTTCCTTTGGAGCCCTTTTCGTCCATTCCCCCTGACTCCTTCCTCCCTCTAAGCGGCATTGTAAAACTCAGCAGTGACAAAGAGACAAAGTAGGGCTCCAGGCTCCAGTTCTTGGAGACTCGAGGGCTTGAGGGCAGTTTACACACAGGTCAGACACGGCTGGAGGCCAAGGTCAAGTTGAAAGTTGCTGTCTAGTCAGCGTGAGAAAGCTCAATGAAAGCCTGGAGGAGACGGGCGGGCAGGCGGGCGCAGGCAGCGGAGGAGGCCGATTGCCCACCTCCCCTCACTTGCAGTTCCCCAATTCCTTGCATTTCCATGTCTGGCTGTTTGGCTACTCCACATCATTTTTTTTTACTCTTTGTAGAGTTTTGGGGGCGGTGTTTACGGACTGGACTGATTCTTCCTTGCTGCTGCCCTGATTTAGCTGGGTTTTTTGAGCCTCCGAAGTTTTCCAACTAGATTCGGAAAAACGAAAACACAACTCGGGAAGCCTCCACCAGTCGATTCCTGTGCCAATTCGCCTCTGGCAAGGGCTGAACTCCTGGTACACAGAGCAGCCAAGACCAGCTCCACATTCTTCCCCCCCCCCCCCCCCCCTCATTTCACTGGAGCCGGGAGCTCCGCGCTCAGGGGAAGGGCCTCAGTTCTACAAACTACCAAAGCCGGCTGGGTCGCTCCACTCCAAAAAAACGGTGAGAAAGGATTTCATCTTTTTCTCAGAGGAGCCAGAAGCAGGTTTGTCTGGGAAGAATGGAGCAGTGGGGAAGGCTTTGGGCTGCATCTTGAATTCATTGAACTTTGCTTCCTACACGTGGCATCCCCACCGTGGAAGGGCTTTGGCTCTGATTTACTGAGGTTTATGTTTTCTAATCAATTAAAAAAAACCCTCAAGTCCTGATTGTTTAGAGAAAGGTGGCCTCCTTATTTCCTCCTGCCTCTACACTGATAGGATTGTCTACCAGGAGGCGTGTGTCCATGGCATCTTGGTATCTCACTTTTTTCCCTTCTGCGTTGTGTCTTCACTACTTTTAAATGACGACATTTCCTGCTAGTTATTGAACTCTGCGCATCCCTGGAAATTGTTTCTTGAGTTAGAATGCACTTTGGGAATAATTTTGGGTAAGGCTTCCTAGAATTTCTACTCACTTCAAAACAAGAATAATCCCTCAGTCTTTCAAAAGAGGCAGAGAAGAGATTTGATTCGTTAATGATTTCTAATACAATGCTCCAGGCAGTACCAGACCAGCTTGTTATGGAGAAAGAAAGGGCAGAGGGTAAAGATGGCCCTTGGAAAGTCAGTAGTCTCTTCCAGTGTTCCTCCTCGTTTCCCAAAGGCACAGGCAAATTCTGCTCAGCTCTCCAGCTAGCAGGGCCTGACTTCCTGAGCTCTTTTTTTTGTCTCCCAGGTTTAGGGTTCTTCTAAGATTTGATAGAAGCACCAACACCTTAACAATTTTATCCTCAGGTTCTCCATGGCTTAGAAAAGAGAAATCAGGGCACCCACAATGACCTTCAGGCCACAGTGGTCCTTGGACCCAAGCACCGGGCTGGGGTGGAATTTGGAGAAGTCTCCTTACTGTCCGAGCTTTGTTTGATGCTCCGGGATTTCTCAGCAAAGCCCTTCAAGGGCAGCATGAGTGCAGACAGGCCTTTGTTCTAGTAGTTTCCATAGCCTTTCCCCTGCTCTTGGTTTTTTACTAGGGCAAGCCAGTGTCCATGGGCTTTGACAGTCCTCTTGCATCCGGCTTGAGACTTTGGCTTATTTTTTTTTTTTTCTTGATAGAGGACTCCTTACCAACCAGGACTGCAGGATCCTGGGCTCCTAGGGTTGAAGAAAAAATGGACACAGGGAAACCAAGGTCTAATCGAGTTTGATTTTCATTAGCAAATGAAATTTACCTGCTCTCACTTTACCACAGAGGCGGCTGTCAGCATCAGCACTGCTCTCGGGGAACTACTTCTTTGCATTGATCTGGTATTAGGATAAACATTCCTTGTTTGGCTTTAAAGACACTTTGTATTTGGAGATATTCATGTGTTTCCAATGTATCCAAGCCACTTTATGAGCTGCCTTTGCAGGACATCTTAACCCTCTGGTTTCCACCCCAGGCAGGCTGAGATAATGGCAAAGCGAGAAAGATCCAGAAGGGGAGGGAACTGAGGGGCCTAGGAGGGAGGATGGAGAAATTCTCAAAGAAGGCAGCATCTCAGAATCCTCACCAGGTCAGAGCAAGTGGGAAGCTGAGTTTTTTGAGGGTCCTCAAGCCTTTAAGCACCAGGGTGACAGTAATGCCTTGAGGTTGTGGGGGAGAAAGGGTGGTCCGGAATTCGGGGCTGGCTGGAGCACAGGGGAATGTGACACTCATTTTAGGTTTTCTTCTAGAGCGAAGCAATAATGAAGTCAAAGAGAAAGATCTGGTGCTGTGGGGATAATTTTGGAACACGAGAAATAACTCTGTACTATGGTGATCAGAGGCTTATAAAAGTGGAAGGGGAAGTCAAGGAAGAAAACCTTGCTCCTAAGATCACCTAAGATTACCTCGGAGATGGACTTGGAAGAAAGCAAAATGTTGGATAAGTGGTCCATCCACTGCCTGCCAGATCGAACCAGGTACAAAGGAACCAGCCCGGATCCGGAGCCAGCCGTAGGAAAGAGACTTACGGAAGGATAGATAACAGAAACTCAGAGAGAACCCCAGTTGTATCACTGTTCTCGGTTTCTTACAGTCTCAAAGAAGGGAGAGAGCAACCTTCCACTCCCGGTATAGAAGAACCGACAGGAGATCTCAGGCTCTGGAGTGGAGCCCTCTCCTGCACCCGCCCGCCGAGGTTAGACGGTGGCAGGAGCTTTCCCTGTCCTCACTGCGCTGCCCTTCACCAGATCTGGAAACTCAGTCTTCACCGAAGGACTCCAACGTTGGCAGCAGAGGGACCAAAGTTCCAGTAAATAGGCTCAACCTGAAGGAGGACGCTCCTTTCCACAGGGAGTGACAGGCAGCCCGGCCAGGGACCAGCTTGTGGGACTGCGGGGGCCCAAGCCACTCTGGGAGTGAGCTCACTGCCGCTGGGACCAGGTACTGGTAGAATGCGGTACCTCCTGGCAACCCAGCGCCTGCAGCTGCCTTGTGAAAAGGACCAGGAGTCTG